TTTGAAAAAAAGATTTAAGCTGAAATATGATACTTGAAAATCCTTCTTTTGTACCTATCCTATTTAGTATTTTGTAATAACATTTTTTTTGTCAAAATATCGAATTATGAGTTTTATCAGTGTCAATGAGCTCTAATGTGATAAAAAGTATTTGTATCCCGAAATATCAAAAGAAGGATTTTCAAGTGTAATATTTCTTTTTAAAAATTGTAATTAGTTATCAAGTAGAATTTTTTAAGTTAAAAATTAAAATTTCTCTTAATAATAATATATGATTATATGCAAGTAAAAAGTAAGCAAAAATCACTTAGAGTTGATCTGAATTTCAGACACAAAAATAAAAATATCATTGTGAAAACAATACATTGTAAAAAGGCTTCTTATCGAAGAAGTTGTAGTTTTGACAGGTGGGCAAAATTGAAAATATAGTACATATCTATAGTATACATTGACCATAGTATATATTATCTATTGTAGCAACCCTGTAGCCCTGTACGTATGTATTGCAGGCTGTTTGAGTGTTGTCACAATCGTGGTGATAGGTTTTTAGATATTTAATAGAATAACTTCAGAGTAAATCACAAACATTTAATTTAATATACTTATAAAACATGTACAACGACAAACAGTTAATAGCATAAGTTCAGTATGCTTCAAAAATATGATGATTAAGACAATTATAAGCCGCTTAAGACTTCAAAAGAAGATGATAGTGTAAAGTTCCAGCAGTCTGTGGCCTTTGGATACTTAACACACAAATGGTTGAAGAAGGAAGATGGATGTTTCGTAAATAAAGTTAATACTTTCAATTAAAAATAGGTAATATATGTATTACAATATAAGCATTAAGTTGATACACAGATAATGAAAATGAGTGCTTGTTGCAGGTATGTCATAATACACAGCCAAGAACACTTCTGAAGGTGCTGTGGTGAAACGGCTGGTATTTACGCAAAATGTCCATCCGGTTCCAGTGGAGGGAGTCCTTCGGATCCCCGCCTCGGTGACCTTTTCTCAGTTGTGCAAGCGTTAATCCGGGTTGTTGGTGAATGGCCAAGTTGTCTTCTGCTAAGTGCCTAACATTGTCGGATAGATACAATTTATGTGTTTGTTTGTGCGTTTTTACAATCTTTCAGTTGTACAAAGTATATGATTTGCATAAATAAATTGGCTTTTACAATTTATAATTTGGATTTTACAATTTATGACGTTGTTTACATTTTGGTTATATACAAAGTATAGAATAACTCCTTTCGGTCGTACACATATTAGTATTCAAGGAGAAATCGGTCATGACGTAAACATGGCTGGACTTAGTAACCCATTACACTTCTCTCCCCTAAAAAAGATGTTTTGTACATTTATGGATAAAACATCTTTGACAATACTCAATTACATGCCTGTGTATCATTACATATCGTTAAAATTACAATGGGTTTTTTAAAAGTTATACATTATATGGTTATACATTTGGATACATAGTGAATATATAAGTTAATAGTTAGTTTTACATATAGTTTAGTTTTTTAAAACATTCAAAATTAGTGGTTAGTATATAGGTTAGTATTACAATATATTTTATTTCTTATTATTTTTTCAATTACAATTACAATATATTTTTTTTTCATCAAAGTACAATACAATATATATTTTTTTTTCATAGCACAATATATTTTTTTTTTAAATTGACATTATAATATTTTTAAAATACAATTACAATTTATTACCTTAGATAATATCTTCAGTTAATTTAGAATCTATGATAAAAGCATCTTTTTCTCTTTATAATTTTGATTGAGTTATAATCTTATTAATTATTATTAATCACAATCTACCTGACGTCGGTGTGTGTCCTTGAGCTCGGTGTGAGAAAAGACAAGTCCTGCCTTTCCTAGAACCATGGGGAACAACACTTTCGTCTTCATTAAATGAGGTACGAGCAATTTTCTTTAAATAAATAAGGAAGGGTGGACTTAATCAAGACAGGGCCATACCAGTTCGGTGTGAAGAGAGACAAGTCCTGTCCCCCTTAGAACTTTTTAGGCATAGCCTAGTCTATGATTTCGTCCACTTCATAATCCATATTAGGTAGTTCCCCCGTAATTTGTGATATTAAATAGTTTCTGTCTTGGACAGCTATGACTATTGCCATGCTAACGTTGTAGGGTCGTAAATTACTAAAACGTTCTCTAAATGTAGTTTTAACTTGTTTTTCGGTACGTTTAAGGAAACTATTGGGAAAATTGACTGTATTAGCCTCTACCAATATATCCCAAAGTGTTCGTCTTCTTTTATAAATAGTGCAGTTTTCAAAGGCTATTCTCAGTACCCTAGTAAAATACTTTGCTCTATCTGTTGCATTTTCATGTTCAAAAATTGTATCTAATAGGTTATCCCCCTCTATGGCCGCGATAACGAGTGCCATTGAGATGTTATATGGTCGTAACGACCCATAAAGTTCCCTCATTAAATTTGCAATATCTTTTTCAATGGTTTTCAAATACTGTTTATCAAATTTTATAATTAATTCTGAATTTACTTCAGCTATTATGGTTTTCAATGTGTGTCTGGGTGCAAGATGGTTAGTGCAATTGTTTAAAGCATGATTTATGATTTTTTTCATAAAGACTACACGGGGATTGCTCGTACTCATTATGTCTAATGTATTAATGCTAATGTAAGTAGGAAAGTTTTCCATTCACCTAGAACATTAAAACATATATTTTTAGAATTTAAATGTTAGTAATACTTATGCTACTTATTTCGTAATGTTAGTTATGTTTTTTTTTTCTTTTTTTTGTTTTTCTTTTTCCTTAAACTAGGCATGTCCTTAATTAATCTGTAAAATCTAATCGGCCTTAACTTTCTAATAATATAGTTCAAAACACAGCGAGAAGCAACCGTGTCAAAAACCGGATTGTGGTAATTCATGTGGGGGGGGGTGTGTTTCTGTACACGTTAATTCGTGAGCTTCCCTTAGGTTCAGATCCCTTCCCCCTTTTTTACCTCCCCTAGAAACTCGTCGTAATAGATTTTTCCGGTCACCATGTTTATCAACTTCAAATTGAACCGCCCGTCATTGTTATTATCCCAGGCGGTCATATTCAAGTATTTATAGACATTTTTCAGTCCTATTTGCTGTAATATTTTATAGTCATGGTTACCGTTCCAAAATACTACGATGGGTTTCCTTGAACCTTTGTGGATATACTTTGAGATGGAGGATAAATTCATCGTTGAGGGTCCCTTTTGACACAGTCCCTTATTTAGCTCGTTTAATAACGAGCCAAACGCTGGTTTCGTTGCCTTAAATCTATTGCACTGGCGAGTAAGCGATCTGAGTTCCTGTGCTGTAGCCTGTCGTGGCGCACAATTCGTGGTTACCACTACCGGATGTCCCGATAGCTTCACTGGGTCATTATTCTTGTGCGTTGACAACAGGCAGCCCGACACAGTGACATATTCACTGTGGGCTTTCGGCAGAAACTCGAAATCGGCTACTATGATCTTTATGTTTGCGCTAAAACAGGTTTCATTACATTACTACAGATATAACACCATACGTATATTAGTCGTCCTTCACCATGATTTTTCATATATATATATTTAAATATTTATATATCTCTACTTGCTACTTGTTATTTTGTTACTTAATATTTTATAAAGGTATTTCCTCTCCTGCGCGCACGGCTTGTCCAATCCTATTGGCTCGTGCTCGTCTTAAGCGGTTATACTGTAGTATATCGTTTATATATAATACTACTAGAATTATTATTAAGTTAGCTATGCTGAGACCTAACAAAACGTATTCATATATACTTTGTATAAATGGTACATGAAAAATATCGGCTTCTGCTTCGAGTTGTCTTGTTGACTTCCCGTTAGTTAAAAGATCACTAATTGAACGAGCTTGTGTGTGAAAGGCATTTAAAAAGTGGTTATTAAACCTTGAACTCAAATATGTTGGTTCCGGCATAGTGATATTAGCAATAAAATCATTATACCCTTCAGAAATAATTTCTTTTCCTGGTATTAATACATCTTGATCACTGTAGGCTCTACAAGAAGAGTTTAAACTTAGTATCCCATTATTTTCTAATTGTATCCGCTCTGCGGGACGATCCCCACAGGCCATAAAAATAGTCTCACCAGCTGAAATATACAGCCATTTATTTTTATTTGTAAATTTATAGAAAATAGTACTGGATATTCTGTTATAAAGCAAATACAATTTGTATTATGCTCAATATATTGTATACAATGTTATGTATGTTTTATACAATTGTTTACTAACTGAATTCAATTTAACCTTCCAGCGGGCGCTATTTGCTTTAACATGTGTAGTCCTAACCTGTGTAACCTAACCTGTTGTATATTTTACAAATTACAACAGTACTATAAAGTAAAGGTAGTGATATCATACATCCGATTAATTTATTCCGATTAACTTAAACCTTTATATGATAATAGGTTGCTATAATATATAAACAATATATATACACAAAACATATGGGTTAAAATTCCAAACAAAAAAAAACCGCACCATTGTAAATACAATAACTTCCCTCATATCTGCATTGGAGCTAAAATTTGAAAGTATAGAGCAGTTATATTTTTTTTGCAACATTACACCATCTGAAGGAACACCTTAGCAAGGAGTTATGAGTCTTTTTCTTATCAATTATTTTAATGTAAACAAAAATATATCTTCCGTAAAGATTTTTTTTTAAATTTATTCTTAAAGGTTTTAATAAAATAGTTAACTTGTAAAATATAATGTTTTTATTATTTCTTATTTATTTGATAATAAAACTTAATACATAAAACAAATTGTGATCAAATCCAATTGAGTATTGACATTTTTGTATAGGTTCAATTGGAATTGATTATTGCATCAAAAAGGCTAACTTAATTGAAAATTACAGTTATTATATGTTGTTGATTATTTACAAAATATATTAAACAAAATACACTTCAATTATTTTAATTTCTAATAATTATAATTAAGTGGGTTTATCAATAAAAATATTGTTTTGATAGAATAAATAAATTTGTTATTTTTTTTCATACATTTTCCAAAGTTATGAATACTGTCTTGCTGATTTATTTACAAAAATTATATCAAAAATAAAAGTAAAACACTCTTAAAGGTAAACATTTAAAAATGAGTAATTTGTGGCATTGTTTAAAATAGTAAACAAAAGTAAAGCTTTGTCACTAATTAATTAAAACAGCAATATAAAACAAAAGTTGGTCCATGTAAAGAAATGCTGATGGTTGAAAAGTGACAACAGAATGAAAAAATAAAAATAGTAATCACAATTTGTTACGCTTAGTAATACTATAGTATAGTGTAGGAATGAGAAATTATTTATATATTACAAATACATATATATAAATAGAAAATGTGATTTTGGCTTTTACTATGACGACTGTTTGTCAGTTGACTTTGTACGCTTTCTGCGCCTCTTCTTGCTAGAAGTGTTGGTTGGCGTTTTCTTCTCAGTCGTTTCTTCTTCGGGATCTTCACCAAGAATCTCTGGAGAAAATTCAGCTTCAGGTGTACTTAACTCCAATGACACTATTTTTTCTTTTGTAGTCTCCACCTTTAATACATTAAACAATCATAGTCGGTGATACAAGATAAATTTATAGTATTAACCTCAAATAAAACCTAGATAATAAATATTTAATATCTCTATTTACCATTACTTGCAGACATGCAAAAGTACTGTGAATATCTAAAGAAAACTATGATAAATCTCAATTTCAAATAAATAAAAAGATAATGATAGGCAAGAGTAAAAAATAAGGAAGACATTTACAACTAATAAATATTAATCTTAATATCTTGGCTAGTTTTTATTGACTACCATGCAACATGCGGCAAAAATAAAACAGTTTTACTGTGACGGCAGAACGAAATAAAGTGCGAAATTCAGAAGGGAGGTACAATATTGTATAGTACCTCTTTTTCAATGACTTTTTCAACAATTTCGATGGTTCTGACTTTCAGTTGACCGGAATGGTCAACATACTGCTCGGTGCGCAACGATACACTCTCGCCGACGACTGTCTCTCGTTCGGATACCTTCGTCTGGACAGGGGACTCGCGCAGGCGTAGACGAGGAAAATCCTCACTTGTCGGTCGTAAGCACTAATTAGCCACCACCAAAGGCCAATTAATTATAATGTTATTATGATGATATATTAATTGTCAGTTTTGTAATAAACACATGACTGTATTATAGCATGCCGAGTAAAACTTTGAATATTTAAATCAAGTGTTATAAAACAAATATTAGATTAACAAAACAAATTTTGTTATAAAAAAAAAACCAATAACAAAACAAATTGTTAGCAACCCCGATGGTATGATTTTTAGTGTTAAAAAAATTAAAAGCTGTTTGAGTGATATCATAATAGATTTCATGATTTCATTATATCAAATTATTATTGACTATAAATTACCTCTAATGGTTTATTTTCAAGAACTTCATTATTTAATGGCATAGTGTTTTCACAATCGGGATCGCCATTAGTCGACTTGTTTTCAGTTATTTCACTCAATTCTCTTATTACTATTTGAGCTTGCAAAGTATCCTGAAATCATTTTGTACAGTTATAAAATGATGAATTAATTTTAAAATATTTATTTTATGGTTTTAATTAATGTAATCTTATATATTATTTACTTGTTCTAAAGATTTTAATCTGGCTTGCCGCCACGCAGCTTTCTTTTCAGCATTAAGTGCACGCTGTTCGGCAGGAGATAATTCTTTATTTTCTTCATGAGAAAAAATACCCTAAAAACATATATAGTTTAAAAAAAGGGAGTTTTAAAATTTAACTAATATATAAAATCATACATCGTGATTGAGTCGCTCCTTTAATCTTTTTTCAGCTTTTGCTGTGCGGACACACACGTCAGCATTCAAATTTTTATGTGATCCAATACTACTAAAATAGTATAAAATGTAGGATTAATACATAACTTTTTTATTTCTTTATTAAATTGATGAACATACGTATTTTCAAAAACTAATGCTCCGTCATCCTCATCAAAATCGTCATCTTCTTCAATGAATTTTTCATGTGGATTCATTTTTTGTTTTATTAACGTCCCCATTTTTTGCTCTGCAAGTATTATGTGTTATTTATTAATGCATAATACTAAATTTGAAGTTACATAATAATAAAATTAATACCTTCTTCCTGTTTCATTTTCTCAACTTCGTCTTGACTTAAAAAACTAAATACTCGTTCTAAAAAAAAAAAAAGATGTAAATAAATTTACAAGTGACTCAAATAATATAATTTATTTATAAATTTATAAAATTGTATGTTATAACATACCAGGTTTTGGACTAGGATTATGATGTTCTTCCATTGCTTTTTCGAAAAACTTTTTTTTATCACTAACAGAAGCTTTGGCATCAGCGGTTTGCTAAAATGGGTGAGTTAATAAAATAACAGTTTATAATGACAAACAATTTAAATACTTATTTTAATAATGACTAAAAATATTGCATTCTATTAACTAAAATAAAAGCTAGGTAGTTATTACTAATTAAAGATAATAAATTATTTTATAAACACTAAACAGTATTAAGAAGATCATACCTCGCTGAGGTTAGCTGCATTGTAATAAGTCAAAAGCGACGGGGTATCATTAAAAACGTCCAACCAATGAGGAGAGGATTCTAAGTATGGATAAGTAGAATAATCTACAGGAGGGGGGTCTAACGACTGCATAGTTTCCAGAGATGAACTACTTTCAATGTCTGTTAAGACAGGAGTATAAAAATGTTGAACAGGTATTGTGTTCACTTCAGTAACATAAGGAACCATTTCTACACGAGTGGGTGAAGGACGTTCGACAACGAGTGTACGCAGAGGAGCGACTTCAGAGTGAAAAGATGGAGTCTCTTGGAAATGTATGTGTTTTGTAGGCGAATGTAGGACAGAGGGTTTGGATGAAGATAATGTTTTGGGAGATAATATAGTTTTTGAAGGACATGTATTAGGCCGTTTCTGAACAACTACCTGTTAATAGTTCATGCAACAAATAAGAGCAATGTTAGTGTATTTTGGCTGCATACTTTGTTCAGTCCAATGGCGAAAATATATCCTCAGGTTTTGTTATGCACCAATATGTCCAAACCACATTACATGCATTATAATGTATTCATAGTTTTAATAATTGATTTTTTTTTTTTTTTAGTAACAGTAGTATGTGCTTATCTTTCAACTATTTTGATAAACTATAATGAATTTTAAAGCTAAACTATTATAGGTTAAAAGTATTGTAATTTTTACTTGAATATAAAACTAATTATCATTTAACGACTTTAACAGAAATAGTTATTATTCAGGCATATAATTTATAAGTAATAACCAATTATAAAAAATGAAAAAAAAAAAATGTAAAAAGTATACATATAATACACCATATATAATATAATATGTTTGATAGACAGAAAAAATAACAAAATTATTAATAAATATCAATAGTTATTAGTGTTATTTTATTATATAATTATATTATCTATAATGGTCCTCAAGGTGTTTTAAAATGGTTATTTACTTGTAGTAACTGTTATTAATAAGGCATAGGACTTTAATAAGTATAACTAACATAACATAATGATAATAATAATAATATTAATACAAAAGACAATTTTTAGATTAATACATAAACTAGATAAATTGTGATCACAAATTTCCTTAATATTAATTATAAAAAAATTAAGTATACAACAAAAAATAAGAATTTGTTTCTTGCAGTTATTACTAGTTTGTACATATTTTATGTTATTTTAATAATTAGCTAAATTTAAAAAATTGTAATTAATAAAATAAAATAAAATTTGTAACTAAAATAATGCTTCAGTGTTATATATGTGATGTTATAATCCGGTGACAGAATTAATGGCACACTGAAAATAACAAATTGTACACTTTTTTAGAACACATAAAACGTGGAATAACAAATAATCGTCATTGTATTTTCTTGATGTAAAAATCGAATTTAATTAAAATTATTATGATATAAAATATAGGGGCAAGGACATGCCACGAATAAATGATAAATGTCATTCTTCTTTCTTTAAAATTCATATATTATTTACAATGCAATAAAAACTACAGATGATCATTTTGAGACATAATTTTGTTTATACAAGTATGTAACATTTTATTCTTATCAAACAAATATCTATTATATAAGTATTGTGTAACGGGTTTAGTATTATTAAATGAAATATTTTTTATAAAATTATTGAAACAAGTTAAGTTACATTTTTACAAAAATTTTAATGTACATTTCATTACATATGATTTTACACAGAATATATTATATATATTTATTAAAGAATATTGTTTTAAAATTCAAGAAAGTAATAGCATCGAGTATACTCAATGGTAATAGTTATGATTTATGCTTTAGTTTATTAAACAGCAGTTCAATATATATATATATATATATATATATATATATATATATATATATAATTTTTTTATAAATATTATTAAAATTTTAAAAAAACTTGAATATTTAAGAAAATCTGTACATAATTTAGCATTATTATTTATTTATTTTTGAAAATTTTAAATAAACAATGTCAATTTGTTTTTTTTTTTATTAATTAGTGTAAACAAAGAAAAATAAAAAGTACCAAGTACTAAACTTTTTAGGCGAAGATGCATAAATAAAAGTCCATGCAAAATTATAATGATAACAATAAATAAACATAACATGAATCTTCCAACAAGAATAATAATAATAATATAATTTATAAAAATATAATGTGAGCAGGTATATAAAATATAAATAAATAAACTAACGAGAGTATAGAAAATAGTTATTTTGGACTAATAGTATATCATGCCGATGGTAATAACTGAGATATTAATGAGTATTCAAAGATGAAATAATCAATTGGAATGATAAATACTATTTTTTTGGATATTTGAGGACTAAATTAAGCCAAAAGTAATTACATAAGAATATATATACATAGAGAAATTTAATTATTAAGTATAATAAATAAAATGATAAAAGTGACTAAGAACATAAAGGCTTATTATGTTTAGTGCAGATTTAATAATAAGAATATTAATTTATGTTTTAAGTATATTTACTCTATAAAATATATCTTAAAATATCAATAAATACAAATTTTTATATTATATTGTATTTTGTAAAATAAAATTACAGTTTGTTACGGTATTATCTGTACACAAAATAAAATATAAAGTATAAACAAAAAAATAATTAATTATTTCGTTATTTATACAACTTCAAGAACATTCAAAAAGTATTTGTAAAATTATAAATGCATTAAATAATAATGTATAGTTAAAAAAAAATAAAAGTTATATTTAGTTTCTACAAAAAGGTATTTTTGCAAATGTCGCAGAGCAGAACAAAATAAAATAATGCTTTATAACATTTAGTTATATACATAAAAAATATATTGAGAAAAATATTAACAGCCAAAATAAGCACATGCTACGCAATTAAAATGTTTTTAAGAAGCTATATTTTCACGCCATGTAAAATATCAAATAAATCTACTAAGCAAAAATCAAAACCAGACTTCATATTCAGTTTTAATATTTTTTATTTATACATAAACGGTTATGTACTCACTTGATCGGCTTGTGGGGCTAAAGTATGTTTACTCATTACAACGGTGGTAGTTTTTAAGCTGTCGCCTGATTTTGGTCCGCCAGGTGATTTAGGTTTGACTGTATTTGATTCAGTTGAATTGAGAGTCAACATTTCTGCAGCTCTTACTACATCCAAAACCTTAAAGTAAATAAATTAATGACTATAGAAACACAAAAATGTTTTAAATATTTAATTAATTAATCTTAAGAAAATTACTTTTTCTTGAGTAGTTTTTTCTTTAACTTCAATAATTTCCATGCTTTCTTCTAGCTCTTCTTTAATTAGTTTTTCTTGGTTTTCCCATTCAGCTAATTCTTTTTTTATTTCCATTTCTTGCTTAATGACTTCGGAATCTTCATCGTCTCTATCCAGGCTAGAAACGCTCTGAGAAATGGATCTACTGTCCCGTCTGAGTTTTCCTTCATTGACTAACCTATCGATTTCTGATTTATCATATCCTTTGCATACAATCATGTGTATCTGTTGGCCAGCTGTTCGTAAACAGTTAACAGCTTCTTGATGGGTAACTCCCAACAATGATACATCATTTACTTCTAAAAGACGCATGCCAACCTAAACATAATATCAGTCATTAGTAATAATTTTAAAGTTATGGTTAGATAAAGATAAACGAGTACAGTTATAGTAAACAGTAAAATATAGACGTTATTTGACAAAAATGATTTAATGACTAAATTTAGTTATGACCAATTTATTTAAAGGTTAATGAACATGAATTTGTAGATATTTTTTTAGCTTTTTAATCTATTTTTTACTATTAGTTTATAAAAAATTACTTAACAAAAAAGTTTTTCAGCCGAGTCTGCAACCACGAAAGAGCATTTTCATGTCTCGTTGAAATACCGAATAAATTTAGAGTAGTGGTGGAATTATAGATAATGATATAGTATATTAACAAGCTAGTATATTAAAACGACAAGTTTCTGGCTAAAATTGTAGTGTTTATTATCTGGCCAAAAGAAACTTAACATAGAGAATTAAACTATTTTGAATTTATTATTTAGTTCTAATTTTAACGTTAAACGTACAACATATCTCTTATCTACTATATCTTACCCCTCTCCCCTACCCACTATCTCCCGTCCCTATCACTCACCCCTATCTCCCACTCTATCCCTACTCCCTAATCTCTCCCCCCTACATCCCTCCCTATCACTCACTTCTATCTCCCACTCCTATTTCTCACCCCTATCTCCTGTCCCCAACCCCAATCCCACCCCCACCCCTTATCTCCTACCCCTATTTACACCTCCAACCCATCTCCGTGTGGTAACGCTTTTTTCGTTACGCTTTTTTTCGGTAATTTGCCATAGCTAATTCCACCCCTTTCCCATACCCACCTCATCTTCAACCCCATTTCTTTGTTGGTAACGCTTTTTTCGGTTATGTGCCAGAGCTAAGACATGAAAATGTCAAAAAACTCACGGTTTCAATATTATTTTAATTCTAAGACAAAATTAGAAAAGTGAATAAAAAATGATTACCTTCAATCGACCATCTCTTTTAGCAGCTCCACCAGAATTAATTTTTGATATGAATACACCTTCATCACTTTTATCCAAAGGATTTCCTCGATGTCCTCTAAGACCACCTTTTATGTGCATTCCAAGTTTTTCGTTAGCTTCTCGAACTATGGTCAGCTCCTATACATTTATTAGCAATTAAAAGTTAATATTGTTCAAATAAAAATCATCTATATGTAAAGAGGACTGATCAAATAATTAAAGACCTGGAAATTTTCTGGAAGTGGATCATGTTGGACTGTTAAAGTAATTTCTTCAGTAGGTTTTAAAAGAGTAAGAACAGCTTCTTGATGTGTCATTTTAGTAACATCTTCGCAATTAACTTTTAATATGCGATCACCCATGCGTAACTTTCCTGAACATTCTGCGATTCCATTTCGAACAATCTAAAAATGTCATTAGCAACATAAAATATATTGACTGTATTTATAGTATTTGATAGAATAAAAATAAAATTAGAGCCTCGTCCACGCTAGCGAACTGCTACACGATTACACTTGTTATTGCAACATTCTTTTTTCCGCCTAATGTCAGTATTTTAACAAATTCCAAGTGTATATCAGTTGGATTTTTAGGTTTTATTCGCAAGTGTGGACCAACCATAATATGCTTACGTGAGAGATAAATATGCCATGTTCTTGTTGGCCAAATGGTATACACGGATGATCAGTACCACCAATAATGCTGAAGCCCCAAGAACCGCCTTCTTTAACTAAAGTGACGTCCTATCATAGAAATAGCATGGAATTAACACACAAATCAATCGAAAAATGACTAAAAAGTTGGATTGTTATGTTAACTACTTCTATCGACAACGCATATGATTAAGTAAATTGACACACAAACATTTGCTTATAACATAGTTTTAGTCATAATTCGTTTAAAAATCTACGTGATAATACCTACCTGGGTTCTTCCACAAAACCTTCACCGTGCTGGCATGTTTAAAATAAAAATATCAAGATAAAAAATATTTTTAAAATATTTTACAAGGAAAAGTTACTTAATCAGAAAAATTGTATGATAATAATAACATTAAGTACCTGTGAAAAAATAAGTAAAATAAAAATCATGCTTAATTTTAGAATTTAATTTTGATTTGTTAATTAATTAATCATATATGTATATTTGTATATATTTTCGTAAGTACAGTCTGTAAGATTTCACCAAGCTTCGAATGAGCTTTCAGGATTCCCTGAATATATGTTACATAATGTTAAATTTGTTTAAATATCAATGTTAAGGGAAAATAGTGATCATATTGATGCTCATTACAATAACTAACCGTTTAAATTTCCTTACAAAGACTAACATGATTATTTTTTTCCAAACTAACACGTTTATCAATATGAATATACATGTGAAAAAATGTGAATTTGCGTCTGAAAAAATCAAATGTTAGTTTTTGTAAGAGGTGTTGGTGTTCACTAATGGTAAATTCAAAAATATCAAATAATTTTAATAAAAAAAAATGCAATAACTTCTAAATGGTAGAAACTACTAAATATAAAAAATTGTTTTTATAGTAACACAATTCAACATTCCTACGCCAAAATGATGTGCCACATGCCATAATGTTATTTTAGTTACATATTGTAGCGGATAATATAAAAAATAGTTATATATCAGTTCAACAGTTTTTCCCAGTTTTCAAAAATGTCTATTTCTTTAACAAGTCTTTTATTGAACAAAACATGATCACTATATTCATTAACTATGATATTTAAAATAATTTAATCACAAATATTATACACCTAGAGTATACAAGGTATTCAAAATTTAATGATACAGTATTTTTTTTATGTAATAATGTTTTAACTAAAAATGTTTCATATAAAATCTTTAATTTATTTAATAATTTAAAATAATTTTTATTGTTCAGTAAAAATATATTTAAAAATTTCTCTCTGAAATTATCACCATTCAAAAATAGTTTTTTTACTTAAACAATAAAAATTAATTTTGATCACTTAATATAATAGAAATTGTACATGAAACTTTTATAGCCGCAACAAATATTTCATTAAAAATGAAACATCACAAAATTTTAAAGACAAGAATATAAATTATGTTCATTTGTGAAATTTATAAGACTAAGAAGTAGTTTTTTAAGGATTTTATTAAAATAATTCTTGAGTTTAGGCAATTATAAAAACATATTAATTTATTTCTTAATACATAATTTACTAATTGATAGGTGAATTATTAAGTATTAATTAAAACGTTAGTTATTGTGATATTAATATTTAAGTTAAGATTTAAATTAAACAACTAATTTATTTACAGACCCAATATTTTTTAATAAGAACTTGAGTATATAAAGTGAATGGGTGTTATTTTTTAAGTGGTTATTATCTATTGCATGAGTTTAAAATCAATTGATTATCATAATAGTTCTATATAAAAAGGTGTTTAAATAATACAAGAATTCATGACCTAATTCTCGATTATTACATTCATTGCAAATTTGCAGAAGACAATGTACATTTAGATTAATGATTTGTTTACAATAGTAGCAATGTCAGCATATTATGTTCACAAGCAGAATCATCATCAAGAAATAATGTTGATTTAATTAAATTACAAAATATGCACACATCAATAGTGTACACATATGTTTTATGTATACATTATTATTTACAAAATTAAAACTGTTCACAACACAAAAATGTTTTTTTTTTTTAATTAACAATTAAGTTAGTAATATATTAATAATAAGTTATGTACACACTGGTCATTGCATTCATAATATTATGCCAATACAAAAGCATACTAATATTAAAAACTAATAATGTGGATCTAAGAAAAAAGATTTCATGCAGTTATAAGTGACAAGAATAAGTTTTAAAAACTCATGTTTGTGTGTCAAAAAAAAACTGTATTATATATGTAATGGCATTTTTAAAATAAAATATTAATTTAAAATTGTCTTTATTTTTTAAAAAAAGATTTGCAAGAAATTTCATGCAATTTAAACAAACCAATATACATGTTTGACATAAAATATTTGTATACAGCATTATGCTTTAAAATACACTAATATTTATTTATTTATAGCAAATAGCATGCAGGTTTTTTTTTATTAGACTTTATTTCATGCTCAAAGCTTATTAACACTTTTTCATTTTCAAAGTTAAAATGAAATTTTACCATGATGCATTTTGATTGTATGTTAATTTTTATTGGAAATGTAATGTACTAACCTCGATAATAATCGATTCCGCCAAAGTATTATCCGTCACCCTAGTCACAACAGTTTCAGTAAATGTACTTTTGGTTATAGTTTCAGTGACACGGCCCAAAGTAGTAGGACTTTCCTTGAACTCTATTCCATTCAAATTGGAAGGCTTTTTTATTGTCAATGTAGTAACAACGGCAGCAACTGGTTGCTCTACATCAACCTGTTTTCTATTAATCTTTAGAAAACGTTGTGGAATCATTGCTTCAAAATCTTCATTGGTTAACGGCTTAGGCTATATTATACAATAGTGATAAATGTATCCCAAGACAACAATTTATTAGTTAACACTTTAAATATATAATTTATACAGATATATATATATATATATATATATATATATATATATATATATATATATACATATATAAATATATATATATGTGCAAAGTAACTATAGCATTGTTTGTGTGTCAATTCTGATGTAAGCATATTAAACCAATTGAAAAAATATATAAAATTACTTGTACGGTTTCAGAATCTGAACCTATAGAAGACTGTGAAGCTAATTTTCTGGGCGCGGGTTTGGGTGGAGTCTGAGGTGGCGCTGGTGGAGGGGTTTTCGGAGACATGTATGAGCGTGATTTGGTAGAAGCACTACTCGGAGACACTGAAGTATGAGACTCTGAATCCGAACATCGAGCATCAACTGTACGCTCGCAAACAAGACGAACAAAGCGTTCTAGCCCAGTTAACATAGATACAGCTTGATCATGGCGGGCACCAGCTACATCAACACCATTAATCTTAAAAAAACACATCAAAATATTAATAAATTACTATTTAATATATATACACACACACACACACACAAATATATTCTGATATCAAACCTGAACATTATTTAAATAAAAAATTCAAAACAATAAATACAATTTTAATTTAATTTTCACAAATATGCGAATAAACTTTTAAATTCAACTAAATAATTTTATATATAAACAATATAATTCAATAAATTTGTCTTTAAAAAATGAATTAATATGACAGAGTATTTTAACCTTTGGTACCACGCGCGGGGTAAAAATTTACCTAATTTACAAAATATAGTTTTGTGACAACGTGAAAAGTTTACCTAAATCACACTTTATTGTAGTGTGACTGGAAAACGCGCGCGTGACAAAAAGTTAAACAATAAAATAAAAATGTATTTAATTAAAACATTATTTGTCATTTAAATAAAAAATGCTCAGGTTTGTTAAATAGTAGTTTAATGTTTTACTGAAATAACACGATCTCCCATTTGTAGTTTCCCATCTCTTTCAGCAGCGCCGCCTTCTGTGATTCGCGATATGAAAATTGCCTAAAAAGCAATAAATAAATAAAAAACATACTGTAGTTTTTATGACAATAAAATTATAATTACCTCGGAATTATCTTTGAACGGTGTACATCCTTTACCTCCAGCAATGCTAAACCCAAGGCCGTTTTGATCTCTAATTAAAGTCGTATAAATCAATTGTTTTTTTGTCATGTCCAGATCTTTTAATGGATCGGGAGTTTTACGATTCTGGTTAAATTGAAAAATAATAATGTAATAAAATGTCAGCACAATAATGAAATATTATAAGTCGTTTTTACTCACTCTGTCAAGCGTGTGACCATTTGTATTTTCATAATTATTGTGATGTGAAATAACACTAGGAGCTCTACTATTGCTCACGCTAGATGATGTAGATTCTCCAGGGACATGAATGGCCCATTCTCTTGGGTGTGGATGAGTTTCTCGGAGTGTTTGAAGAACTAAAACTGACCCACAAGATCTTAAAACTTCAACTGCAGTGTAATGGTCAACATCGATTAGTGAATGCCCATTTGCTGTAAGAACTTTATCTCCGACCTAAATGATAAAGTGTATAAATAGTCTCATGAAATTTTCTAAGTTACAATGTACAGCTAAACAATGTATATACTCGTAGTCCTGCTAAATCGGCTGGTCCATCTGGAGTGAGTCTGGATACAAATATTCCTTCGTCATTTCCTTTAAAAGGCGTAGAATTTCTGCCACCGGCTATTGATAATCCTAAACCAGCCGATGTCCTTTCAATATGAACCTCCATTAGTTCTTCTTTGCCAACCATTTCACCATCTATAAGAACAAAAAAAAAAAAGTATTTTATTACTAGTATTAAAGTATATTTAATAATAAGTCGTTAACACAATTACAGACCACACTTTTTATAAGTTAATATTCTCACTCTTTTAGGATACAATTTTTTTTTGCTATTCGGTATACATTTTACAGACGACAAAAATATAGACTTCATTTTGTTTAATATGAAACCCAACTAAGCTAAAGAATGAATATTATATACATGATTATTTACCAAGAACAGCTTGATCAGTTAAAGACTCTGGTGGAGTGGGAAACAGCACAGCACTTTTATCTTCAGATAAGGAATTTGACGTGTTTTCGTTATTAACTAATTGTGCTTCCTATGGTAATAAAAAAATATAATATTAGAAGGAATTTAAACAAATACACTTGAAAACAATTTGCTTAGTAAATAATACACAGTGCAGATAAAACTGTAAACCCATTAACAATGACACTAAAAACCTTTTTCAATTTTAATTGTCAGTACCTGTTGTTCAATTAAATTGGCATCTATTGTAATTCTTTTGTTTTTTAGATGATGTGGAGTATCTCTCCTGTGCAATTTCATTGGTCTATTTTGAATATCTGCCTCAAAATTTGAAGATGGATGGAAAACTACACTTTTTTCCTAAGTAAATTTATATCAATCAACTTTAATTTCAAATATATTTACATACAAAGCAGATATGATAGTTATATTAACTAAAACGTCAAAAAATTAAAACTCATTGATATATCATATGTATAACTTGAATCCGGATTTAATTGTCTTAATAAAGTTTTAAACTTTATAGTTACATTACAATTTATTTTCAAATTATTAATTATAATTTTCAAAAAAAATTAAATTACTAGTTATGTTTAACAATTTTTTTTCAATAGTTATCTCATCAAATAAATGTTACATTGAGTATTTAATACAATATTTATTTTTAGTAAAATCTTTAGTAATCTTATGTTAAAAATAAAACCACTATTATCAAACATTGTCACTAAAATTTAATCTTATAAATTGTATCACACAACTTTGATTAATGTAAAAGTTGTAAAAAAATGTTTTGTTAGAATAAAAGAAATATTGCCAAAATATGTAGTTTTGTATCATATTACATTATGATCCATCCAAATATGTTTTTTAATGAGTAACATTTTCCATAAACATTTGTAGTCAAATGAAACACCAAGAAGCCTCTAACCCAAATTGTACTGCAGTTTCAATAAAAATATGTAAAAACATAAAAAGTCAAAATCAATTAATAGCTTACCTCGTAGTTATTTTCTTCTTCTAAAACACTATTTGTCTCCACTATTGATTCAATTTCTTCTGAATATTTATCATTCACAACTTCGTTTCCATTGCTTTTTTCCTGATGATCAAATAAAAAATATATTTATTGCAATAATTCAACATAATACTGAATATATAACATTTTATTACAGTTGAATCATCGCCTCTTTGGCTATCTGTTAAACTGCTTTCATTGCTTTTAGTCTTGCCAAATAGCTTAGTGGCTTTGGCTTTCAGCTCTCTGGGATGTGGAGTGTTATGTCGCACAAAGGAAGTCTGAAAATAACAATCATTAACATTTAGGAACTTTGATTATTAGAGATAATATATTGTGTCTTCTGGTGACAGTTTGAGTGGGACAAGGTCAATAGTTAATGAATAGAAGTTAATTGACCAATTCATAATTTGTACACTCTACGCTGTACTCATTACTAGTTTTATCATAGTCATGCATATATTATATTTATTCTGTCATTTTGTTATGATTGTTTATTGTTATAATAAAAAACATAATATGGAAAAATTATTTGAGTAAAGACAACATAAACATAATATTGTGTTTATTTAGTAATAAGAGTAGAACAATCTGTATTTTACTTAAGTCCTTATAAAATCAAAATATTAACACAATACATATCTATTGTTTAAAAAATACAATACTGTAGAACTAAAAGGTACTATCTAGGGTTATAAAATTGTAAACAATTACTTTTTACAAAGAGGTTATTTTTTAGTGTCTGGGCCACAACATCTTTTAAATTGCTGGACTGATTTCTCTAAGTGGTAAGTCATATCAGTGAAAGAAGGCCAAAATTAAAAAAAAATTACTCCTTGTGGGGAATATTCTTTAGGTAATATAACTACCTAAATACAGTAAAAAACAAGAAAATATCGTTAACATTCCCCCTCCCTCTCAAAAGATTTGGAAACTTTTTCTTTAGTTCGTTTTTTTAAGAGGGCGCCGCACCGCCCATTTTTAAGGAGTAAAGTATAGGCAATTTTTTACAAAATCTTAATTAAAGGTTAAACTGTGATGTGTAATTATTAGTTCAATAACTAGAACCCTATTTTGGTAGTTAATTAATTTTTTGTACTATCACAGCATCATTGAAAGCGATTTAAAAATGTTTTTTCATCTCTACATGTTTAAACAGACGGAAAATAACTCACTAACTATTAACTTAATTTTGGTTTTAGAGTAAAAGCACCCATTATAAAATTAAAAGAGAACAATATTCCCAAGGGCAAGACGGTGCCTTTTTTTCATTATTTTAAGTATAACGCTCAATACATAGTTTAGAAATAACGACTATTTTAACATTTTTAACTTTTAAAATAATGTATTTTTTTTAAAAAATGCACTGTCTTGCCCTACGTAATATTGTTCTCTTTTAACTTTATAATGGGTGCTTTTACTTTAAAACCAAAGTTAAGCGAGTTACTTTCAGTTGGCGTAAACGTGTTTTCACCACTGAAAATCACTGGTGCGGCGCCCTCTTAATGTGTAATTTTAGGACTGATAGTCCAAAAATTAGACTGTAGGTAGATATAGCAAAGCCCTATAATATACATAATTTTTTCAAAAGTCTGTAGATAATTACTAATTAATATTTTTAGTAGAAGTATATAAAAGTTAGAGTTAAAGTAAATATAAAGTTATACTTTTTACATTTATTTATACAGTATACATTTTTTTTTATTTTCAAAATTAAAATGCATTATTTTAAATTTTTGGTACTTACGTTTGTGTTTGGTTCAGTCTTTATATCTCCAGTGAATTGAACAGACGTAGTTCTTGAATTGGCTTTATTTTCCCACTCATTTTCTTCGTTTTCACTGGGGGGCTCATCATCTGGTGGCGAGCACAATGATTGGTCATAGTCACCAGTGATCAAGCCTACAAAGAATGTGCATGCCATGCGCCAAAATTGTAGTCAAGCATAGTGTGTGCTTATACTTATGAACGTATTAGTTATTTAAATGTGTAAATAGTAGCACAATATTATACAGATCAGCAAATTAATTAAAAAAATTTTAATTTAAAATAGAATTATAACAAATACAACTAGGTGAAAAAGAGTTGGAAATAATTATTCTTAGTAAAAATACTATTACAACATAATAGACAATATAACAAAGAAATTAGGTACATTTCTGCAAAAAAGTGTACATTTATAAAGTAATAATACCTACAGAAGTTTTTGTTACTATTTAAGTACCTACATAAGGCCTGTTTCATACCTAATGCGAGGTACACATATTTTTTCATAAATCTTGCATAGGTCGCGAAAACAACAATTACGTATGGATTTCAACAAACATGTGTATTATACACATAGATGAATGAGCAAGGTATTTTCATACGCCGTATATAAAAATACGCATATTGTACGGGCAGGTGTGAAACGAGCCAAAGTATAATACTTATGTTCAATAATAATGATAAAAATATGTTTTTGTAAGTATAAAAGAAAATTACTTAGTGAATGACTATAATAAGAGTTCAAAATCTCGAGTTTTGAACTTTAAAAGAAGAAAGAAAATTCGTGCAGTAACACATGTAAACCAATAATACATTTATTTATGTAAAAACAAATATATGATATAATGTATACCATTTGTTTCGCCTCTGATTTCAAGTTGAGGTAACAAAAAACATGTGAGAACCTGTTCTCCGGTTTTCTCATCTTCGTCTGTTTGAAAATTGAGCATTGGTTGGGCTTGGTTTTTGGATAGCCAAACTGCTTTTAAATTCAAACTGGCCAAAGAAAATGGTAAATATTGTAAACTAGAACATAATAATGTCATTTTAAAAAAATAACTCATGTTTCAAAACTAAAAAACAATATTTAATAATGTATATTACTTGTTCCCAGAAACATCTAATACATGTAATTCATAACAGTTTCCAACTTCGTTCGGCAGATATTGCAATTTATTATCACGTAATGACAAAATACCTAATTGGATCAAATTTCCAATTTCAGATGGCAAGCTATGAAGACTGTTACGGTCGACATTAAGATTTGTTAAATTAACTAGTTTGCCAATGGATGATGGTAACTCAACTAAAAAGTTTTCTGTCAGTATAAGCTCCTGAAGATTTTTACAACTGAAAAGAACAGATGCAAAATCATTAACAATTTTATTTACATGTGCAGCTATTTATAAGATAAACACATTTAACTTTTGATCAATAGGATTTAAAAACACAGCAAATCTATTTAACCGGTCGCATTTCTTTAGGGGAAAATTTGCGATAACATACGGGCTATCAATAATATTTAATTGTAAATGATGTGTAACTTCTAAACTAATTGCGAGCAGAGCAAAATTTTTACTTTTTCGTAATCAGTATTAAAAGGACTAGGTTACAAAATAATTGAAAAAAAGTGTCCAGTAAAGTAAATTTTATTATTAGACCTTATTAATCAAATGTTTGTGACTGATATGTTTAAAATTTAAATTATTATAAGTAAAAAAATGTATGTATTAATAGAAGATCAAGTTTAATGTTTTGTTTTAGATAACAAATATACAGCTCCTACCATCCAATTCGGTCATTTAGCATGGTTAGTCGGTTTTGATCTACTTTGAGAATCATAAGACGAGTAAGTTCACCAACACCGTTTGGAAGGATTTCAATCACATTTTGCGATAAATGTAGATCAGTAAGACATTCCAATCCTCCTATTTCTTCTGGAATGTCTTCTAATCGATTTTCAGAGACATCTAAACATGTCAACTGTTTTAGGTTACCAATTTCCTGGAAATTGTATAAATAATTATATAGTAGATAATTACTGTTTTTTATATTTCCTGTCAATTTATTAAAAATTTAATATTCAAATTAGGTAAAACAAATTTTAAGTCGTTACCGCTGGTAAATGTTGTAAGTGATTATGATCCAACCATAGTTCCTGAAGAACTGGAAGATTACCAATGTGATGTGGCTGAAATGAGGATAAATAAACAATTCTTAGTAAATAATTCTCCTTCTTCGATTAAAATGTACTTACTAGATGATCTATTTCATTGTCACCTAAATCTAATCGTTCTAAGCGTGTTAATTGTGACAAAGATATAGGTAGAGAAGTCAATAGGTTTTCTCGTAATTCTAGTGATTTTAAATTTACCAACCTTAAAAACACACATACAAAAGTATAATTACATCTTATATAATATATTGGACAAAAAGACACAAAATTATTTCATCTATTATAATTTTAGTGTATTTTAAATTTTTATTTAAAAAAATTAGGGAGATAGAATGAAATTGTTCTTAAAATTTGTATATTTTTACTTACAGTCCAAAATCTGCTGGTAGATTACTTAGAGACATATCATTAAGTCCTAAAGTAGTTAGATTATGTAATTGTGAAAATCCCGATGGCAATCTAAAAATTAAATTAATGAATTAAAAAATAGATAGTATGTAATTAATAACTTTGAATTAATAACTATATTTCAGTTTACGAAACTTACTTTGGTATTGGGTTACTACTAAAATCTGCGACTTGCAAAAGCCTGAGACTTCTGATTTCATCTGGTATATCAGGTATATCTAAAAATTATTATAATTAATAAGACATTAATAATTATGTCCATTAAATAGTCAAATAATAACGCAATAAAACGTATTAGCAGTTAATTTAATCTATATGTATTAATCTAATTATATTTAGAAAAATAACATATGATTTATGAAGTACAAAAATACTATTATAATATTACGATTTACGAGTGTTTTAGGATTTCATAAGTTAAGTCTATCGCAAGCCTAAAACAACAACGCATTACTTTGTTTATACTTTATGAAACATTTAAGAATAATGTGAATTAAGATAACGTGAACAAATAACAGACAAGTAAAAAATAACCTTTAAAAGGCAAATAAAAAACAAAATTTAAAGTTTCACAGGCATGGAATCGTAAGTAGACAGTACAATACACAGCCTAATTTAAATATATACAGAGTGATTCTTTTATCATGAGCCCTTAATATCTCATAGGGTTTAATAAGAAATTAAATTTATTTTTCATGTTGTTTTTATACAATATGATTTCAATTTTTCACAATTTGTATTGTTTTTACCCCTTCCTAACTTTTTTTAATAGCAACTTTTGAAATTTGAATGGTAACACATATATTTTATTTAACTTTTTTAATTAAAAATTATGACTGGTTGATAACCAGGTTTGGACAAATATTTATAAAGTTAAAAGAGTTTAAAAGTTAGGATGGGAGTGGAAGTGCGGTTGGGAAATGTGCACAGATAAAAATAATACTACACTTTACCTTTCTTCCTGCCCTAAACTTGAAACTTCAATAACTTCAAAAATAGTCATCCGAAACTGGTTATCGACCAGTCAACATTTTTAGTACATTATTCTCAATTTAAAAAGTTAATAAAATATATACGTTACCATTAAAACTTTAAAAGTAGCTGTCAAAAAAACTAAGTAGGGAGGGTGGTAAAAACAAAAAAAGTTTAGAAAAATTGAGATCACATTGTATAAAAACCATATTTCAATTTCTTATTAAACCCTGAGATATTGAGTGGCCTATAATAAAAAAATCTTCCTGTATATATTTTTAATTACAAATTTTAAATCTTTAAAATTGAAATGTTCTGGATGGGAAAAGACACGCGGAAACCTAAGTACAAATTGTTTGATAGTGTTAAACATAAAACGAGTTAAGATAGATGTGTGTAGCCTACTTGATGGGCTTCGTCTAAATGGCCTTTAAAGTTCAAAAACGGTAACGTAAAATGAAATTACATACATTGTAATAGTATACATTTTATATATTGTTTACAATTTTATTACCAGTTTTATAAAACCGCTAACATAGTGACATCGTCCGATTTTTGGCCAGCCGTAAAAAGTGTATGATTAGATAATGTAAGCAAAATGACTTATCATCGAAATTTAAACCAGACTATGATTTTTATTATGCTTATATTTAGATTTTTGATACAAGCCATATACTCACCATTAAAAAAAAAAAAGGTATAAATCTAGAATAAAGACACTGTCATCACTCATCAGTATGTCAGATTATGTCAAACAATTATAATATCTTAAAATTATATTTTTTTTTTGCCAACGGCCTATTATTATTATTATTTATTACATAGGTAAAACGAGGTGATTGACCTTCCTAGCGTTAGAGGATTCGACCACTACATAATAAGTAATAACTAAAACCAGTTTACAGCCACTGACAAGGATGAGTAAAGCATACTGCTGGATAAATACAGACAGTCTAGTCGAATTACCAATCAAACGAATAATGCAGTGTGCTGCATGTGAAGGTTATTACCACGGTCCAGTTATTGAATAGCGCGAACCAAATAAAAAGAACAACTGATATCCAACCATAATAATAGCAACTATACAAATCGAACAAAATATTTATGGATGCGCCATGAATGTAATATTAAGAGTACCTCGAAGGCTTATTGGGAAGGGTAACACAATAGGTAGTTGCTATATAGTTAGTTGTTTGTTCGGTGGTGTAGGATGTTGGCTACTGCTAATAGGTATAGGCATATCTACTTAAGTACAAGATATAACTAAAGGTATTTACTATATTATATCAAATGCGTAACCGGTAAAAAAAAACCCTTTAATCCTAGAAACTTTAATACATAATCTATTGTTTTTTTTACCGGATTTCCAGCAAACTTTTTTCCTAGTATTATTATTGTCGGACAGCTAAATAAATAAATTGTAACCCTTTTTGGTAACTCGTTACAATAATACTTGTAACTTGTTATTATAATGTCAAAGAAATTTTAACATTACATTTGAGTATATAAGTTATAACGACAGAAATTAAGACAACAACACAGTTCCAATTGAAAATAACCACTTTTACAAGTGGTAAGCCCAGTGGGAATTGGTTAACGATTTATTACATTTTATATTTTATTCTGCGTATGACGTCCATACTGCCATGTACTATTGGAAGTATGGAATGCGATTTGTGTGGAACAATAAAGACTAAAGCCCGATCCATACTAATAAAAAGCAACCCATAGCAACTTAGTACTTACTGTATTGCAATGCTTCCTATTATTTTGTTTCGATAAATAGCGAATCATGTAGCAACTAACGAATGTTACCTTAGTCTGGATCGGGCTTAATAATAGGTATATATTTAAATAATAATCATTGTCGTGAAGTAGCAAAGTTTAAACTAGACTCTCCATTAACATCAACATATTTCATTACGAATTTACTTTTCCACGGTATAAAAATTTTAAAAGACAAGCTTAAGATAATAAACGAAAAGTAACATTGTATTTGATGAATACGTAATAATATGTTAAGGAGAGCACAGAATGGAAAGCGGCCACAAACTTAACAAGTGGAAACAAAAACTTCGTTTAATTTGTATTATAGAAAATTCAACTACTTATTTAATTAAAAAAACAAATGTATAAATATTTTTTAATATGATTGAAACAAATTATGAAATTATTATAAACTCGAACCTATTAAAACTAAACAGTAATATTTATCTTTTTTTTAAGTACGACTTAGGAGAAAGGAAAATACAATCAATAGCAGCATGTTAACATGATGTCTGTTTGTAATAGTAGTTACACCATTTGTTTTTTTAGTGCGCTATCAATACTGTAATAAAATGTATATATTTTTTAATATATGAGTAGGATTCATCAAACCACACCTCTACTTTACCAGCAGCAGTTTTATTACCGCTAAAATAGCAATTTTATTACTATTTAGATTTAGTGATATTACCCTTCGCGTCTATTTGTTTTTAATTTACTTAATAAATGATTATTTGTCATGCACTAGAAAAAACGCCGAATTTAATTTAAGTTACTATTATGTTTCTTTGCATAAGCGTTAATGTGCGAATCTCAGAAAATAGTAACAATAGTTTTTAAAGCCCGCAAAAATCAATTTAGTGTACTCCTATAATAATTAAAACTCGAGCAGCGAAATGGACAAAATTAAACCAATAGGTATATTACTAATAAAAAGTATAGAAAATAATACCGATAAGTATCAATAAGTATAACTAATGAAAAATTGACTAAATACAATCCAAATTACGGTAATTTAATTCGAAATATTATTACACATTTTGAAAATATTAAAAGCAAATAGGAAATTATTATTAAACGATGTGTAAATGTGTTGTACTAATGTCTATTTCTGAGCGTTATCAGCCTAGAATAAGCGGTCGATTGATTTAATTGCACAATTATGAAATTTGGACCCTTTTTTGTTTATATTCTTATCGACCAAATATTACAATAATAGATGCCTCCTAAAAACTCCCAGAATACATACAAAAAAAAACAGGTATACAATACGTGGGAACAAAACGAAATGAGAACACCGAAACACAAAACAACACATTAGTCAAGTAGTTTTGAATACATAAACATAATACATGACTGTATTGGTTGTAATAATAATTCCTAAGGCACGTGCAAAATGATACCACAACTTTAGGGAGAGTTTGAATTAATGTCACGGGATCACGTTTGTTTGTCGTTTAGACGGCGATTTTATAGTTTGTAGTATTAACTGTTGTACTTTTTTTCTTCGTAGTATGTAAATTCAAAAACATAATTAGATTGAGTGGTACCCGAGTTGAGTTTTTTAAAAACATAAATGTACACGAGGGCAAATGACCTGAAGCACTACATGTATTACAGTCAGGTCCTGCACGTCCTTCGTATACGGTATACGATGGCAGTGCTGATGGTTTACGGCTAGGATGTATGCATGGGTTCACACGCGGACGATGGGAGGTACTATACGCTGTAATCGTTTACATACTCGAGAATGAAATAAAACTAAAATACTCATACCCGTTTTAAAATATAAGCCAAAATTTCATTATTTATATGATTTTGTAACCGCGACGATCTCATGTAGCCGGAAGCGTTTTGACCCCATTCGCAGTTTCAAATATTAAAAATATTAAATCGGTACATGTACGATAGTAAATAATTGAATATATGACTACGTACGTGTACGTGAAGTACGTGTACGCATTTTAGTATTAAGCAATTGTACTTCGAAAGTTGTATACCCCGTAAAAGAGAGAACCGGTACACGTCATGTCAACTTCTAATTAAAGACTCTGAAGTGCATATTGGCGAGCCACACACCGAAATGGTATAGATATTATTTCAACGCATTTGATTATGACAATTGACAAAATTAAAATATTGTTAAACTATTTACATATTAGCTGAAGTGGGTAGTCTGGCAAGAGCCTATACTAATCGTACTCATCGTAATTTAAAAAAAAACTATAGATAGATACAGATATAACATCTAAATATAAGATATTCATTATTAGAAGATAATAATACATTTTTACAGAAAAAAATGTGCAGACCATTAAACTTGTATAATATATGAAAGTAAATTATTTTTTACTTCGATGTTTTAAATTTAATTTATAAAACAACAAATGTTATTACTTATTTTTCAACAACTAAGTTAATATAAGTTAAGTTATAACTGTATTTGTCGTAGTTAACAACATTTCATTTACAATAACGCCACTACAGTGTTTATACATATTATTACAATAATTAGTCGTTTTAATAACAGCAATTAGAATTGTTATTAGTTTATGCGAGAACAATGCTATTATCAGGACAGCGTTCGTGTCACTATAAAAAAATGTGTTTCTATCACCAGTGAAAATCTATAAAATCATGCACCATACCGCGTCACGAGTATTTATAAGAATTAAGGAGTGTAGCTTAAGATAATAATAACGTAAAGTATGTTCTCTAAATATACTGTAGTAGGGGGCATTATCTAGACGGACTTAAAATATATAATTACGTTTACGGTTATTGTGAATCATTACCAATAGTTATACTTTAATCATTAAAAACAGGCAAAGGTTAAATAAAAGGATTGGATTAGCCTTTGAAACGCTCAATTATGTGTTATAAGTTGTTTCTCATTAGTTATTATTATTATCGAGCAGTATATCCAATATTTAAATGGCTGTGGAACTGGTCTCGACTAGTAGAGTTCAAAACGATTCCATTTGGGAAATATTTCCAGACGTCATTCTTTAATGATTAGATATTTCGAATGCATACAGCTATGCAGTTTCTAATGTAAAAATGTGATGATGATAGTGTAATAATAATTATAATATGTTGGTAAATCGCAGAAACGCTGAACGTGTAACAACTAACATAATATGATCTAACAAAAACATCGAAGCTAAAATATTTATAAAAAGTGAACGAAATGGTGACAAACAACAAATAATAATAAATTGTTACAAGGACGATTTCCTTTAGGAATAGGAAAACCTCAACGGGGGGAAACATGTGTTAAATAGAGTATTGATGGAAAACAGGCGTTTTGTTTTTAGTCGTTATCTTAATAGGCGATAATTATCATACAATATTGTTGCTGTTCGGTGAACAATTTTCAGGCGTTAAAATTATGGAAAAACGCACTACACATATTTACACGATAATACACATCAATTGCTTAAAAAATACACCACATGAGTAGGACCGTGGCCAAAAATATAATTACCGAATAATCATGATTTTAATAGTAGAATATTATACAAAGCGCGTCTTAAGCGTTTAACGGACAAGACGCATACATTATTTTTTACTGTGCGTCGGAAGCCGGCAAAAACCTATCCAATGCTACTAAAAGTATACTTCATGGCTTCTAGCATATTGAGGGACGTAATTAGGGTGTAAATATTTAGTACATAGTACCTATGTACTTTTGTATTTGTAATGAATAATTATGAAAATTGTAGAAGTAATTACTAAATTATTATTATTTATGTGTTTAAAACAAATCGAGCTATTTGCAACAACTTGGTATAATTCTTTTAAGTTTTCGTCAATGATCAAGAAATTACTCTTCTTTCTGAGTTAACCCACTACAATATTCCTTAGTCAAAAACGGTGTATTGTATTAATATTTCTATTATCATAGATAAATTGGTGCGTTTATCCAATGACCCATTTTATGCGTAATGTTGTTATTACAACCGTTACAGCGCGTTTTATGTGTTTTTGGATTTCGTCGAACTGCATTATTATCATTATTTATTTAACGTTTTAACGGGTCCAACAAACAAAACAATATTTTATCTTACTACGTCCTAACCCGTTTATGCAAACAGCGACCGAACGTCACTGGCGAGCTTAAACGTGTATACGTATTATTTATCACTATTAATAAATTTGTTTGCTGTTCAACGGACACAGAGAATAAGGTAACGTGTTCTCCTTGATTTTTTTTTTTATAGTAAATATTTGGACACCGCGGTTGAATAATATTATTATTGTTTAGTTATTATGTACGGTATACTTGTTTTACCGTTGTTATACAGTATACTGAAGAAGGACGTGCCTTTACGTGACAATATGATAAAACGCTCAAACGGCATACGAGCCAAATCACGCGTAAAATCGCGTTTTTGCTCCCGCGAAGACCGTGTAACGACAGACATCTATATCTATATATACAATACACATGCACTTACATTCTCACATATAGGTATGGCCGTCTATTATTACACTACGGCGATTACTATTTACAACAATTATCATGACGCACTCACCGTTTCGGGAGACGTCTAACTCGACCAAGTTTTCAAAGAACTGAATTTCGGGCGGCAGACGATGTATCTCGTTGTCGCTCAAGCCGAGCTTGCGTAGTCGTTGAAGACGAAAAAAGTTCTGAAAAAAAAACAACATTAAAATATTACGATAAAAATATATACGGCGATATTAAATAAAGATTGACATACGCGAAATTGAGGTTAATTGTATAAAATTAATTCATGTATAATATGAAATATCCATACGAGATAATAGACCATTGTGTACATGAGTCATTCGAACAGGATTAAATAAACGTTTTAATGGTTTTCCTCTAAAGTACTCTTTTTAAAATTTTACAATAACAGAATATAAAATAATAAAATTATACGGATTCCCAGTACAGAAACATTCTCGCAACTCAAATCGCCCATCGGGTCAGCGCAAACTATGTTAATTTTTCAACTATATTAGATTCCGTACCATTTTTTAAGGGAGCCCTTCAGGTAAACACCGATTAATATTATTTCAATTTTAAATCATTAATGCTCTTGTTAATAAGGTCCGGTCGTATTTTTACTGTATATTCGGGATGCTAATATAAATCTATAATATGTAATTATAGACCAATAGAAAAACTTTCCCCGATTTCTAAGCTTTTAGAAAAACTTACGATACCTACCAGCACACAAACGTTAAAAAATATATTTTTAACAATGGTGCCAAAATCAATAGAGGTTAGGTAAGGTAGATCAGTAATTTGATAGACGAGAAAGTACGTTAAATAGTTATTTTGATTTTCATGATGACATTGTAGATACTAGATGCATTATGAGTAGTTTCTATAATTATACTTGACTTCCTAGTCAACAAACAGTAAGAAATTAGCATCGTTTAAAAACCAGTTTACCGACGTCACGTACAATGTCGTCGTCACTCCTTTACAAAATGATAATAAATAATAATTACAATTCGTTGCCTTTTTCTGGCGTCGTCTATTATAAGATAGGCAAATTGAATGCTGCTATTTTTAGTCAACTAAAGCAATACCGATTGCATATTTTATGTTTTTATTACTAATAATAATTAACAACTAAAATGAAAACAAAGAAATTGTGATATCTATTAGCTGAATTGTATGCAGACAAGTCGATTTTGATCATCGATACGTCATCTTTGTAGCGAGCGTTAAAGATACATATATTAAATATTATATTATTATTGAAGATAAAAGCTAGTCGTGAACTCTATCATTGGCCAAGGCCAAAGGCGATACAAATAAAACACCTAAACATGACGAGGTCGGCAACAGGATGAATAACGCATACGCAGGGAGCTGAATGAATATTTAAGATATTTCCTTTCCTGAATAAGGAGAATGAAAAAACGTTAAAAATTATCTTTGATAATATATTGTTATACGTCATGAACGTGAATAAAGCATAATCAAATTAATATTATAATCGAAAATATAAGTTGCAAATTAAATGCAACGTCGTAAATAGATAAGATCTTAGTATACAGGTAATATAACATATGACGAATATACACGTCACATCAATGCACCCAGCGCCATTACCTAACGTTTTATCACGTCACATACAATGGATAGGAGTACAATAATTGTAAATGCTAAATAAAGACAAATGATAATAAACTTGTTAATAACAAATAATTCTTTATAAAAAGTACAGCGTTTCTTTTTGGTCAGTACGTTCAACGTGATAAAATTTAAGGCACACAATTAATACAAATAAATACTTCTTAAATACATTTGAACTATTTTTAATAGTAATTAAAAAGTATACATAAAAGACCCCGTTAAAAATTAGTACAAATGCGATTTACATTATTATTATCAAAATATATTCTAAATATACATAAAACTAATTTTTTAATATTAAATTATAATTTATAAGAAAAAATAATAATGAAAAGAAATTAATTTGTTCACAAGGTAAGGTCATTAAATGACACACGTATTATGGTAGGTTGACTAATGTAACCATATTTAAGACCTTGGTATAAAACTGGACAATGCCTAGTTACCAATAAAGTAGGGTGTGGTTACTAACTGTTGCTGTTGGTAACACACCACATACATGCATAAACAAACCCACATTTATGAGCGACATAAGTGGTAGGTATAGGTATTATGTTAATTTTAAATGATACTTAATAGGAACAGACAAATTAAGAAAAATAACCCTCACAAACAAATTTTAGTATTAAAATGATAAAAAGTACAATGCAATATAGTTCACAAAAACCATACCCAACTTAGAAATAAAAAATTTGTTCATAATAAAATATAATTATATAAAAGCCATTACAGTGGAGACGAAGCATATTGGAGCGGGGGAGTCACAGATCCACAAGAATCATTATAAATCCGTCATATAAAATAGTATACTTAATAAAAATACTTAACTTTTTATTTAAAATGTTAACACTGGATAATTTAATTTAAAATGTATTATTTACCTATTATAATGTCTTTCAAAAATTAGTTATTTAATTTGGTAATCAAATGTCATAAAAGTATTTATCTAATTATAGTTATATTAATTCAATAACTTTTATATTATGTCAACAGTTAACTGATTAATTTTCAATGGCATATGATTACATATAACATAAAAAACAATTCACATTAACCAAATACTTTTCAATCGCAATACCCTAATAAGTTAATACACTTTAATGTCAACATGGAGTTCAATCTTGTTTATTTTGATAGGCAGTGGTATGATATTAAGTTAATACCATAACAAACAACATAATATTGGTAACATATGACATATGTAGCAAACACTATTGATAAAAAAATCAAAACACGCTTCAAATTACAAATGCAAACTTACTCACTATTTTTTAAACGGATAGGTATTTTGATTGTAAGTAGTTTTTTTAAAATGATTTAATTGTTTCAAATAGCTAAATCAGCACAAACTATGTACAACAAAATTTGACTTTTATTAAAATATTTAAAACATAAATTTTCCGGAAATAAAATAAACTAAGTGAAAGAATAGTTAGAAAAAATTCTTGTACTAAATAAATATATTAATTAGTAACATTTTTGAAATATAAGTAGGTCTATGAATTGAACAAAAACTATTTTTTCTATTAAAATATTATGAGTATTGATTTGCAAGCTAAATAATAGGTAAACAAATAAACTGGTCACCTACAACTAGTTTCTATTCTCAACAATTTAGCTTAAAAATTATGAATAGTAAACAGATTTACTTAAATGTCAAGCCAATCTGACAAGAACATTCATAAAAAGTATACATGGTAATTTGTTTTCTATACTTTGTTAAAGGAGTAAAAACATTATCAAAAACAATAACATTCATCTTTAAACTCATAAAATTAATTAATGATAACCGAAGGGATATTTATGTAGATGTCAGTCCTTATTATAACTGATAGTTTTAAGGTGGGCAACATAGAAGTATGTACTTAAATTATGTAAATAAAGGGAAAAATTGTTTTAGAGTGAATTTTTTAAAATTTGCTTTATATCAAAGAAAAACCAAATAACATCTTCCTACCGATATGCATAAAATATCGCTGAAATCTCATTAAATACTAATGGCAAATTAAAAAATTTAAGCATAACTACTGATAACCAGAGGTAATAATTATAAAACAAGTTCTCTGTAAGACAAATCTCACATTTTTTAATACGACAAAATCTATGTACTAAAATAAGTATAGGATTAAACTATTTGGTGGTAACAGTACCTTTGGCAGTTCACGTAGATGATTGGCATCGAGCAGCAATTCCTCGAGACTTCTGGCATATCTGAGGATTTCTTCGGGTACTGAACTCAACGAGCTGTGCCTCTTGTCCACACACTCGACCTGCCTGTTGCAGCCTTTGAATATTGGTATGCAACGAAACATGGTCAACGACTACGTCGATCAGTTTGTCGATGACATAAAGTGGTCTGCTGGTACTATCCAAAAGAGTGAAATAATTTTAAAGAAATGTATTTTTTCTTTCACGATCAAGGATTGACCATGTCGCAGTGAACACAATAAAAACGAAATTGAAAATTTTATTAAAACTAAACCAAAAACTACAGTTAAGGTCGACTCGACAGGATCTGCTTTGGTGTATTAAAATTATAATTAAAACAAAAACGAGTAATTATCGGATTCGGCGGTCGCACGTACGATGACGTTTAACGGTGTACACAACAAACCGTTTGCGTGGGCGGCGATGCCTATATAATCACGGTGCCATAATAATCAAGAGAACGCGGAGCAACAGTCGTGATGTGCGGCGCAACTAACTATTGGCATCCTTAGCCCGTTGGGAGTGTACAGCGAGTAGTGCTGTACAGCGTACTACGCTACGTGATTAGTGATTACCCTCTGCTTGCTGACAGTGGCGAGAGTCGACGTAACGTAATCTTGATCCTCCGCCGCCGACGCCGCCGCATTCCACATTCCGAAGCGCACGGCGCACCGAGAGAATTTTACGAGACCACAGTGCGGCCGCGGTGGCCGGAGTGAAATTACCAGCCAGTACAGGTCGGCCAACCCTTTGTCGCCATTGACACCTGTGGACCATCGATCCGCCTTATCATTTTCACGACCACGTAGATAAGCAAATAATATGATAAAATCATTTCAAAACAAAATATTGAATAGTGTTTACTAGTTTTAGATTTTAAAAGTACTGATATTACTTTTATGTGGTGCTCTGTTGCGTTTGTAATTTGAGCGTTGCTAGGCGGTGCTTTTGTCCCGATCGCCTCTCCCAAGCCTAAATGGCGGCCGTCGAAGACGTTGCGGCCCCACAACCGCCTAACTTAAGCTACAGCGACATAGCCAGGAAGCTACTCAACGATCGCCTGCTGTTGACTGCCCTGGAACTCCATTGTGAGTTAGTAGAGGCTGGCAAAGAGTTGCCCGGCCTCCGAGAGTTCTTCTCAAACCCTTCAAATTTTGAGCACACCATAACTCAAAACGACAACATCAGTATTACATTGAGTATGGGTACGTTTTGACCAGTATGTCTGCTATATTATGCAGTATGTCAGTATTTTACTATAATATTTATAACCATAACTGTAATCTCACGTAGCTCGGTCTTCAAGTCAGGCCACATTAGACTCGTTAGAGATGACGCGATATTCAGAGGATGGCGACAAAATGATCAATGAAAGAGTTGCTGTTCTTGAGTTTGAACTGCGAAAAGCCAAGGACACTATTAATGCGCTCAGAACTAACTTGACCGTTGCGGCTGTGGGTAAATAATTATAACCTCAAAGTTAATTATAATACTTTGACTATCAACAGATTACCTAGTCATTTTAGTGGGTTCACAAATTGTATACAATTGTATTTAAAAGGGACACTTTTTTTTTTTAACCTAAATCTCGTTTTATTCTTGTAAATAACTTACTTACAATTGCTATTATCACTTTACTTAAACCATTTTAAATAACAGTTTTAAACAAATAATGTTGAACTTATTCTTACAAAATATTGTGGGGTGGGCTTACAGTAGACATACTATACTCCTGTATTTAATTATTGTAAAGGTATTGTTATTTTATTTTACATAATTAACGCCAAACGGCTTTTATACATATTATTGAACAAATTGAACGTAATAATTAAATACATGGGTAAGTTTTTAATCTAACAAAAATATAATCAACACATATGGTCTAAGTACTCGGGTAATTATTGCAATTACGCATCATTCTGGTCAGGGGTGCATTTCTCATAAAGTTAGTTTTACCTAATGGCAAGTAAAAAAATTAGTGCAGCCTGGTTTAAGACAGTACTCGTATACTGAGCCATTCTAAATTGTTATTGTTATTTATTTTTTTACATTTATAAATAAAATTAATACTGACTTCACTTGATGTGTTGTAGAATCAGATGAATTTAATAGGGACAATGTTCAGAGTAAACGGTATGATGATCGAATCAAACCACACGAACAGAGAGTACTTAATTTTTTAGTTAATGAATACCTGATGCAACATAATTATAAATTAACTTCAATTACATTTGCAGATGAAAATGAAAACCAAGTAAATGGCTAAAAACAATTATTTATATTTATGAATTTTTTTTGTATTAATAAAATAAATTTGGCTGAAGGATTTTGAAATCTGGGATGATGTCGGTCTGAATATTTCAAGGCCGCCTCACTTGTTATCTTTGTATAGAGATCGAGCTAAGAGTTACCTAAAAACAGACGAATCCTGCCAGTGTGACAAAATTGAATGTGCGGACGTTTCGACTCAAGTAACAACTAATAGTTTTAATAACAAGAATACAAGTTTAATTTTTATACATATAACTTTATTTTAGACTGAAGATAATTGCAGTGACCTAGTAAAAAAAATCTTGGAGCTAGAAGAGACTAATGAAAACCTAATTTCTCAACTACAAATGTTAGTGTTTTAACTCTATCGCTAAAATATATTTTTGACTTTGTGAATGACTTATTTTTAATAAATAGGCTCAAAAATACTTCACAGAAAACTAATATTATCAATGATACGCCAAAAGAAAAATGGTTAAGGCCGTGCCAGATGAATGTTACACATGATTACGTTACCATTAACTTACCACCTGTATTTAATGATATGTTGATGGAGAAATGTTGGCCGGATCAACAGCTAACATTATTAAATTTGGATGTTGAGATAAATGTTAATTTACATGATCATGTAGAATTAAATTTATATCCATTGCTCCGAGTACTTGAAAATCAAAGAATTCGTAACCAAAATATAGATAATTCCTCTGAAACTGATAAACAAGAAGTATACAACCGTTTCAAGAAAAATGGTTAGGTCCAAATCTTTTTCTTTAATTAAAAAAAGATCGTTATTTGCAGGATTTCGTTATTTTAAGTGTATTGTTGATGCATATACATCCGGATGAAGATGAGGTAGAAAAACTATTGTGCTCATTACTTAATATGAAAAAAAAACCTAGTAAAAAAGAAAGATCTTTAATTATTGGAGGTACACTAATTTCATTTTCATTTTAAAATAAATGAGTTAATATATTGTTGTTATATAGGTTTATCGTGGTTTTTAAAATATTCAAATAAACGATTTTTTGAAAAACTATTACTACCACAGCTATGGGTTTTGCTCAATGATAAATATGTTGAAAAAAGATTATTAGTTGCAGAAGGTTGTTCGTGTTTTACCACTCTTATAAATGTGAGTTAAAAATATGAAAATCATTAATATATTTGTATTGCTTGTTTTAATAATACGGATATTTTTAGTGCGAGGCAAGGCAATCTTTATTGTCTGTTTTGCAACAAATTTTAATCGAAGATGCTGATGATTCGGTTCGTGCCGCTACTATTAAAAGTATAGCAGTCAATGCAGTTAACATTTTTGATACTGATAAATATACTCAGGTACAGACTTATTTTTACATTTATTTTTCCTAAAGATAATGAGCATAAATGTTAAAAAAAATGTTATTAAAGATATTATGATTTATTATCTAATATATAATTAATTAATAAAACATAAATTTAGAATACTATTTTAAGGCCTGTTTCACACTGAACACATATAGTTTATATGTTTTTTCATTGCCCTATGTATGAATTTAGACCAACGAGCCGAATGTCTATTTCAAAATAGCGTGCTTATCATACGTCTTTATGTGAAATATAACTATTTGAATTATATATTTTCATACACTTAAGATACGGGCCTAAAAATTATTTTTCAGGTCGAAGAACTTTTATTTGTTGGCTTGAAAGATGCGTGTAAACATGTTTTTGAAGTCACTGTTGGAATTTTGTTGCCCGTTTTAGCTAAGTGGGCATTTGAATCTGAACGATTACAGTCTCATTGTTTTACTCGTTTAATTAATTCTCTGAACACTCAAATAGAGGTAATAAATGTTAATGTAACTTTGGTATTGAAAATGTTAATATTATTGTTTTGTAATTAAGAAGAGTTATAAATTGTATTTAAGGCTCTTGATTCTCAAAGGAAAAGCCAAAAAGTTGAACAATTGGAAAACAACTGTTGTGCCATGGTAAGTGCTGTACGGTCTATTCTTCCATACCTAGTATTGTACGTAGCGTCTGCTCCCGAGTGTCTTGCGTTGAGAAACGATAATATGCCAAGAGGAGAATTACGTAAGCTATTTAATTAAAAAGTAAAAATTTTATCTATTTTCTCCAACTTTAAGCTAACACACATTGTTACAGGAACTGGGTTTGCTGATATATGCACTGGATTATGTAATCCGACAATATTTTACAGCAATGCAAATTATAAAATCGGTGTTGTGATGTGTACTTTTGACTTGGCAATGGAAAGGGCAGAAATATCATGTACAAGACTTGATTGGCTTCTTGATAATTTGTATGTTATGTGGTCATAGAACAAATTAATAAATACATTTCATAGTTCATACATATTATAAATACATAAATGCAAGGACATAATATATGGATTTTAATATTTATTTTTATAGTTTACCGAATTTGATAAATTCAACTACTCTAGTGTCAGTCGGGAATAAAAAACTTCTGCAATCGCTTGTAAATTTGTTTCAATCGTTTTGTAGTGGATTTGGATCGAAATTTACACTCAGCAGAGTAATATTAATATGACATATTTTATTATACTGCTGTTACATTTATATTAGTACTTGAATAGGTAAAGCCACTGTTCTTAAAGAAAATACAAGAAGTAGAAAAATCATTTGCTAATGTTAGCAATGCACTGCCATCACTATCAATTATTTGTATATACTTGTGTACGGTATTAGCTCCAATAGAGGTAAATATATTTTCCATTCTTGGCTAATGTAAAATATAATAACAATAAGTAATTACAGACTGAAGAAAACGAATTAGAAGCAGCTCTTAAAAAATATATTTGTACATTACCTTTGTGTGGCGTACCTATCGATGTTTTGCAATTTACTATTAATCAACTAGCACTCAATCATACCCGTTTACACAACATAATATTGGCATCGCTTTGGGAAGGTAAATCATAACTAAAACCACCTATTTTATTGCTAGGTATTTTATTATTTTTGGTACTATAATTTTCAACAGGCGTTATTAGCCAAAAAGAAACTGTTCGTCTGACTGTTACCAAACTTTTTTTATCTGTAATGTTTCACTTGTCCGATGTGAATATAATTAATCGAATTGTGCCAGCCTTAATAACGCTATCAAACGATGCAAATAGGTGAGAAAAATCATAATAGTATTATAAAATTTTGAAATATTGATAAACTAAAAAGAATTTAAAGGTAACTTAATATTTCAGAGGAGACATTTTTGAGATGTACCTTCTATAATTACTATGTTATGTACAATAATTACAACACTACAGAGTATCTATCTGAATTTAATTTTAATAATTTTTTTATTATAGTGATGTAAAAATAGCATTGGTTCCAGTTATTGGTGAATTAATGACGTCGACAAATAATAAAGATACAATAGAAAAATGTCGTTTACAAATGAAGAGTCTCATGGAAGATCGTTCTTTGACAGATAACCCTGTATTTGCAACTGAACTTATAAACGCGTTTGGCAAAATGGCTCCAAGATTAGAACAAACGTACAGGGAAGATGGTTAGATAATAATTGTCGCTTTTTTAATTAAAAAAATGCACTCTCTAGCACTAGGCTGTCCATAATATATTATAACAATAATAATAGTTGTAAATAGTAATATTATGTTTTTGCAGTAATAATGGTACAACTCAACATGTATTCCGGTGTAGCTGTGCGTACTACAGATATGTCCAGAAAAATCGAACTGACTCGAGTATTGTTAGACGCTTTTAGCACTGTCCTATATGAATGTACATTATCACAAAGTGCAATTACGTTATCGCTGTTACCTAGTTTAAGGTGTGTTCAGCTAATATTGTGTAGTACTCAAACAATATGTAATCAAACACATTTATTTTATTAGATGTTTAGAAGACCTTTGTAACAAAATAAGTTTACCCCAAAAAGAGTTATCTGTCATGCTGATAAAAGAAGCCGAATCCAAACTACTGCCACAAGCAGAAAGGTAGCTATAGCTGTTTACACTAATACCATTTGTTGTACCATATACAGCTAAGCAATGTAGTCATAGTGTATCTCACAAACGTAGTTACCTGATACTTATCTATATAATAGAATGGTCTTAGCCATTGATAGATTATCAGCAATACGAGTACCTGCATATACCCACCTACTTCTCAGAGTACATGTATACATAGAAAAGTGAAAGACAGATGAAGTGTATACTCTCATGACTACATATCACTCTGTATACAGTGTAATAAATAGAACTGTGTACATTGTACAATGCTCAGCCGATTTTATGCTGTTTTCCACAGTCGTGAGCCAGTCTCCTCATCGTAGGGGTACGTCATTTTGCGAATGGAAACCCACATAAAATCGGTTGCGGTTTCTAAAAAAGTACTGCTTATTTGTGTGTTTATTGAACAAATAAGAATACTTTAAAATGAGTTTAAAAGTAGCGAGTATTGATTAAATCATTTTTTTTTCCAGTGGGAACAGTAGCAGTTTAACACACGATTTAAAACCCAAAATGGTGAAAATGTTTCAATCATCTAATATCGCTAAACAAACCATGTTCTGGAAAAAGAATAACCAATCTCAGTGAATCAGCGTAAAATTCGCAGCAACCAGAAAACGCGGTGACAAACTTAAAGATTTAAAATTTGATATTTTAATTATGTTTATTAATTTGTGATTTTAGTAACACAATGATCTGCAAGATATATTTGTTACATTATACATTTAGAAAATAAATTTAAATGATATATTTTTTTTCGATACTATCGAATACAACACTTGTGATAGTTATTAAATGTAATTTATAATTTTACTAATATAAATTTATTGTATTATATGATGTAATACTTAAATTTATAAATATGTATCTATGTAAATAGTTTTTTAGACAATTTTTTAATAAATATAATAAATTATGTTTCATTATTACTTGTTGGAATAATAATATTTAAAGGCTAATGGTAATTGACAATAATCTATGATGTTATACTCGTACTACCAAAAAACTAAAAAATAGTAAAATAATAGTTTTTTATGTAAAAAAAGACCAATAACTAGTAGTTGACTATTTAATGATAACAATTATTTTGTATTCGTAACAATTGTGTCATTTAGATAAAGACTAAACATTTAATAAAAACTCGAATCTTACCAATATAAAATACTAGTTAACATAATTTAAAACTTTTTACATATCACACACACACACACACACACACAGTACAACTTGTTGAGTGTCGAGGGAATTAAATAATTAAAATTGAAAATAATATAAAACAAAACGATACAATAAATATTAAAATAATATATCAGAATAAGCTTGTAGTCATTTTTGATTTCGAAACAAAACAATTTTTTATTCATGTTCATCATACTCTATCTATCTTTTTGAAATATATATTTTATTTTCCCTTTTAAACTCTCCTCTACGGATCCACATAATTAGGAATTATATAAGGTATGCACCATAGATTGGTCGAGTTAAAAATTATCAAGTTGCCACACGTTATTATTAAATAATAAAAACTAAATAGTTAATTAATGATTATTAATATATAATTTAATTAAAAATTTAGTCAGCCTTTAGGTAGTCGGTAGAAGAATGCAACTCAAATTGATTTCAAGACAATAGGGTGATATTGTTATGTTATTTTATGAAAACTATTTAGAACTAGCCAAGTCACTTGTAACACCACCTATTCTTCCAACAACTTGCCCCATTTTTATTTTCTGTCCAACCTCGACGTCAAACAAAAAGTCTTTAGGTGCTTCGAACAACAGCACTACAGTCGAACCCATTCGAAATTCTCCTACTTCTTGTCCCTTAGACCACTGAGTCTCTAGTGAACGGTCATGTTGATTGAAATCTCTACGGCGGCAGCGCACATTAGTTTGCAAACCCTATAAACAACAGCAAAAATTTCAATAACATATACCATAATTGTTTTAAATGTATTATATTTTACCTTATCAGAATATACACGAATAGATCCTACATTTGTGGCACCTACAGCTGTCATTGAAAAGAAACCGTGCTTCCATTCTCCAACATACACCGCTCTTTCGTTTAATACAAACAGATCTGGTAAAAACTTTGCAACTTTTGGATTTACACTTAATAACTCGCCTTAAGAAAATAGATTGTGTTTTACATTAATTTGTTAAAAAAAAAATCATATATTTACTAATGAATTGCATATCATTGTTATACCTTGGAAATGTCTTCGGAATTTGACTGTCCACTGAACTGGAGAGTGAAACCGATGATAATCTCCGGGAGCCAAATAGATGACCATCTGATATAAATCATTATTAGGATTACGTAAAAGCTTGGATTTATACTCATTCCAGTGAGGATCAAACGTTTCACATTCATCGTCATCATTTTTTTCCTTCCGTTCAACCGATATCGTTTTTTCTGATGTTGAATCAGATAAAACGACGTCCTGTTTTTTAAATGACAAGCTAAAGAAGCTAACTCCTTGGTAAAGGAAATTGAATATAAAGTTGATGCAGTACATATGCATAGTGAGTAGACCGTAATGATAAAACAAAAAGGTGGAGTTGATGGACCAGCCACCACCACTGTAATTGTTCGATGTCGTATCTCGTTTCATCAGATCGGCTTTTACAGTATTATTTGTCACTAGTGGCGAAGTTTCTAATTTTAAGGAGCTCATATCTTCCAGCCAAGTTGGGGTACCTAAAAATGACTTGATAGTATAAGTAACACCTTTGACTTGTTCTACTTGACAAGAAGTCACCCGACCAGCCGTTACAATAGTACCATCCGCTGGAGAAACCTGAAATTGGCAAATTTGGTTTGATAAAATATTTGTATGCAAATATTTATCAAACGTATTTTTACCACTGGTTGATCGTGGCTAATAGGTCTGGCTCCATCTTTAAGTCTTCTAGCGAAAAATTCTGCCAAACTCTTGTAAGATTCCATCGGTAGTTCTACTTCCTCCACGCTAACCCCAAATAGTTTGGAATACGCAGTAAATAGCCAATAACGCAATGGTCGAGGAATGTAAAAATCAGCAATATAGCCCCAAAATCGGGACATTGCTCTTAATGGAATAGCTTTGTAGAATGACAACTAAAATAAAACAAAATTATTATATGTTAAAAGTACTAAAAAGTTTACATCTTTAGAAAAACCTTTAACATAAAAACATAACTCACAGACAGAAAATACTAAAGTCAAATGCTTAAATATATCATTCCCAACGTGACATTTAAAATTTTTTATTATGCAAAGTAAGATTGTATGTATTATATGATAAATAAACAAAACTAGTTAACTCTCAAATGTAAATTGTTTAGTAGGTTCATTAATTTTATTTTATGCATATTAACGACGTTTATTTGAGTTGACTATAATAATAATAATAATAACTTATACAGCTGGGAAAATGTGTCACAGATGAAGTAATGAAGTAAAAAGTTCCAACTCGTATGAACGCACTTGTAATGAACCAGATATAACAATCATGTTGATGGCTGTTTACGCTTTACAGATATTTAAATGAAACAATTTGAATTACAATTTATTTAAAAATTTTATATTTATAAAGGGAAAACAAAAAAATTAGGTTTAATCAAATCCTAATTTATCATAGTAAAATCAAGTAATTTATTTTTCTTTAATAGAAAATATTTTTTTGTTCGCGTGGCGGTTTACTATTGGAATAAAAACGTGGTTTTTTTTAGAAAAAAACCAGTGTAGAAAACAGAGAAAGAATTTAATATTATAATGCTACTAATTATAAAACGCTTCCTAAATAAGTAGAAATTGTATGTTTAGTAAGACCCTGTTAAAAAGTAGTTCCCATAATTTGAAAAAATACTTAAACTACATAAATAACATACACGTCATTATCAAAATTTTTTTTATCTTCATTTGGTTCAATGTCACAACGTCAGATGTTTATGCGTGTGCAAGTGTGTGGATTGTGATTACAGTACAATAATGTAATACTAATATTAATGTGCGTGCACTGTGCACGTTAATACGCGCAAAAGTTTTGAAAACTTTTTTAGAAAAGGTTTTGCTGAATATTATTTAACGTAATGCAAACAGCAATTCGTTTATTCAATACAAATATCGTTGAGCTGAATGAATATGGGTTATGACCACTGACCAGAAGAGTTTCTTCTGGTGTTTACTTAAGTCGTAGGAAAAATGTAATATCCAGGGGAAGGGGATTATATTATTATTCTCAGGGTGGTAGTCTTGGTAATTAAACAATTTTTTCTGAGGCGACCAATTAAGTTTAGAAAATTAATTATTAAAAATCAGCTCTATATGTTTTAACTTATAAATAACATCTAAGAAGTATATATTATCTACGATCTACAATTGTATATATTGCTATATTTACTAACTATTCAATTATTTAAAAATTACGATATAATTTATTTTACATTTTATAAATGGCTTAGGGTTGCAGTTAGGGCATTTTTTTTATGATTAGCAAGCAAGGGGTAGAGCCTTGTGGATGTCATTCACATTAAAAAATTCTGATAAAAAAAATGGTAGATGGACAGCGCGTCCCTTTTTTTCTAATACTTTTTTATTAAACTTTAGGGTTTTTACGATGACAATAAATGTGTGGTGTTCAGGCAAAAACGGATATCAAAATTATGTTTCTTTTGGTTAAAATTTGTGATAAGAAAAGTTTTCCACTTCCCTACAGATTAAAAATACATAGATAAGCCAGGCCATACACATTTTTGGACGCAAATCTATACTGACCATGATTCGTTGCGTCCATTGTGTTATAATTGCCGTACTTCATATGCCAGTAGACTATACAGTAACTATGTATGTTCAATCCACAAATTTCCCAACGTCAATTACGAATTACGAATATGCTAGTTCTGTTCGTTATGTATATTTGCACTTAAGCTACAGTTTAACATTAGTGAAAAGTAAAGTTATAGGCTAATAAGTTTAAAGTTAAATACTAATTTAGACAAAAGAAAATAAATATATCTAATTTCAACTTATCCCCTTTTGCACGAATACTACAAAATTGCGAACATTGAATTGTTAATTTAAATTAAAAAAAATAAACATAAAAATATTTCCAGACATAACGAGGCGTCTAATATTCGCGCATAAGTTTCACATTTTTATCCCAAAACCATTCCTGCACTTTTCATTTTATCAAACTATCAATTGACCTTTGGCGGCTGCCCGGAAGGCTAAAGATGATATGAATTACATAACGATAATAATATGTTGAAATTCTGAAACCCTGTCCACGCATCAGCAACATTTTCGGGAACTTTGATGTCGAATGGCCTTTTTTTGATATTTACTGCTATTAAAACGGAGCCTGGTACAAATGTCGCGTGTGTGACATAATTTTGATGGAAATGTCGTTTAGGCGTGGACAAGGCTTTTTGTATTGTAGGTGCTCGAGAATGGGTTTACCCTGAGATTTTGGGTGTACACCGGTTGTTGGTCGCCGTCCTGCTGTTGTTTATTCAACCGGCGCCATTGCAACACGGCCAGCAACGTCAACCCCACGCCTGTTGGTATGGGGTATATGAGGTTCGACCAACTCCACCATCGCGAATTTTTCGTCGCGGCCTCCTTGATTCCCGAATCGCCTGGTTCTCCGGTGGCGGTAGTACCTGGGGAATACAAAACAAACAAGACCAAATATATAAATATACCTAGTAATAATAACAAATACTCTAAACGTTGGATATTGTTTTTTCCTCGGCCGATTACAGGATAAAATAATTAATTTTATACATACATGCATACATAATCCCAAACGTATGAACTACAATATTATAAAACAAAAACCCCACACGTAATTATCCAACGTTGTAAAATGTATTCTCTATCCAAGTATAATTATTTTCGATTCCTCAATTATAATTTTCGAAGGGAGGGAAAAAATATTAATCAACGTAACGTGCGAGAGAAAAACAATAAAATAAAGATAAAAAAAAAAGATATACATTATGTATGTACACACATGCGTTTAGAAAATATTGCGAAAACAGTATGTCGGCCAGACCGCAACAGTATGTTAGCAGAACCCACGGTTCGTCCATGACGCGCGTCCGCGTGCAAATGCGTTTAAACAACAACACAATGTAATAATACTGCCAAGTAAATGTGTGTGTATGTATGGTCTATAATAATGTTATAATGGAGCGTGAAAAAAATTTGATGTGAGCGAACCAGCGCCGACCGAGTGTTTGCCCGTGCGATGGCGTGATGGCTAAAAGGTTTAGAGCAAATCAGTCGGCGCGACGCGTGTAACCTTAATCATTAAACTCACACAAAACGAATCTCGCTCGTGTTTAACCATCGAATGTTGAGTATGAATTTTCGCAGCAATTTTGTTTTAATTTAATTACTATCAATATCCGACAACACGGACGACGGCTTTCTTCGGTCATAAGACACTATACGCAATTACTCTCTTCATATTGCGACATAATCAATACACATTACATACTGTTAACTAATAATAATAATATTTTTATTATTATTATTATATAAACCCGGCAACGATTATATCGAATAGGTCGTACTTTACGAGTGAAAAGAGTGAATACGTTACATTTATATAATATTATATATGTATTTGCAGTATACTTTTTTTTATTATTAGAACGGTGGTCCGTGTGTTGCCTCTACAATATTTTTTTATTTTCACCGCGTTCTAATTGATTAAATCGACCTTTGACGACCTGGCAAAAATTTGCGAACCCAGCTTAGAACGTTGTACTTAAATACACGCACAGATAAATATAAAATGCAAATATATTTTTTCCAATAACCAGTTATCTTATCACACTTTTTACATATATACATACATAATACATATTAATAAACCCTGTAATGTATAGCGGTAACATAAACGGATAAGGAAATCCGAAATTCCACAAAAATATAAAATACAGACGGCGAGGATTGAAACATGGACTAAGGCAACGGTTAGTTCGATAAACAATCACCGGGTATATTTATTACAATCAACAACCGTTTTTAATTATTAAACTGTTTTCATTAATTTACCGTATTATTTTTAACTCATAGAATTGTTTTTTTTTGTCGAAAAATGGCAAAATAGCCGTCGATTGTAACCTTGTCGGAAACGTTTATACGGAAAAATACGTGAACGGTCCGTTAAAATTGTGTGATCCATTGTCAGATAATTTCCGATTAAAATACAAAATATAAGCTACCCAACAAACTAATTAAATTTAAGTGATAAATTTCTAGTAATATTATCATAATTTGTCTTAGCCATATTATAACTTCACGGCTTTAAAAGGCGTATTGACTGAAATGCCCAGTTGTTGACCGAAAACGGATATCTCCCTGGACATGGTTTTATTAAAATAACTCTCAACGGTAGGCAACGAAACATTATGCATTTTAATGCAGGAAATTCGTTCGATACCATAAAATAAATGTCATAATTATTAATTTAGCATAAAGCGATTTAAAAAAAACAATACTATGCTTCTCAGTTCTTTTAATCTGTAAAACTAAAACTTAGATGGAGGAGTAGATCCCGTAATAAGTTCCTTTGTCTAACTATTGCTATCCCCGTAATACGTCATATACTAATAAATATTCATACATATTTACATGTAAAAGTATACCCATAGTCAAATTAAACGATAATTACTCTATACATTTTCGGTTAACGCCATTATATTATTATAATATATGCATATACACTTATCAATAAAACCGACATAAAAACGTTCACGGCAGCGCTGCATTATCAACATTTTACTACAATGCACACCTGATGTAAAAGGAAAATTAATTGCCGCATAGCAAAGTTAACAAAATAATTAACCATTAAGCGTTTAATATAATAATCATCAAATACGGTACTGATAACTACTGCAAACAACTGTATTCAGTTGGCAAAAAATTATAATAATAGTTTACTGTACAACACGTCGAAACCAAGGTCAATAATTAATTTTATTTAGATCATGGGAGATTTTACAAGATTTCTGCTTTACAAGATTTTATCTTCTTTGCAAGTTAAAAAAACCTATATAGAATATCCCAAATTTGTAAAATCTATTACAAAACCATAGGCAGCCCCCCTCCTGAGTTTTCACCTGGGGGCGCCCTTGGCTATGACAACTATTTTTTTAGCAGCACTATAACAAAACTTTTTAAATTATAAATGTCACAATATAATGTCCATATTCCAGAACAAATAATTAAGTTTAAAAACGGCATTAATGATTTTTTTCTATCTGAAAGATAAGGTTGAATTAGGGTTGCCAACCGTCCTTCTTTGGGCAGGACAGTCCTACATTTGTATGATTTGTCCTATGTCCAACAAAGCTTTAAATTTTTTGTAGGACAATCCTATACGACAGTTATGTCCTTATTATACTTTAGGGTAAAGTCTATCAAAAATTAAAAAAAATACTTATTTATATTTCGTTATTATTATATTTAATTTTATCAATTATTTAGCTTAACCACTTATATCAGATTTGTTAAATTTTTTTATTCCAATTCTGTATCCGATGTATATAAGTGTATATTTAAGATTTTATTAGAGTGGCGAACATCCAATTGCTATACATTTATAAATACTTAAAAATTTAGTAACTGTTCATTTACACGATATATAATAGTCGAAGTTAAATCCTCCGAGTCAAAAGTATAAATAAGATTCAATAAAGGTGATATAAATAAAATGTATACGATTATTTACTAAAAGTATACATATATTCTATTCATTATATTATATTCTGTTGGTTTAAGGCCGGATTTGTTATTCGGATCCAGTTCCCTATAATCCCTGAAATACATTTTTTTAAATAAGTATACTCAATAGAAAGAATAATATAACTCAAAGACTTTATAACTTCAAGTGTCTCAGCCCAGAAAACATCTAGAAATCACTAAGAAATATGAAAAATATAATTATTCCTCCCTTTTGACCCCTTGGACATACATGGAAAAATATTGTCCTACATTACACAATTTGAAAGTTGGCAATCCTAGGTTGAATAGTTTTTTTTAACCATTAGACTGATCGAGCTTTGCGAAATATTACCGATAACACATTTTTAATTGTGTACAGATTGTTATCACGAATTTAATAATGAAGATATTTGAACTCTAAACTTCGGTTACTCGATCTATAGCCGGCTTTAAAATTATAACCGACAAATCAATTACAAAATTATACTATGTTCAATATGAACTTGCGTATACTTACAATAAGTATATAAAAAAACAATTGGTGGACAGTTCACAATCATTAAAATAAAACGTTACGCGTCAATAATAACGTTTATTAGTTCAATTTACTTTAAAAGATATTTTTTATAATTTTATCAAATTCCTAATATATTTCTGTGGCTTGAAGCAAGAAGGGCCAATGTCACTTTTTTTATTTTCTATTAGGCTCTATGTTAATTTTTTTATCAAACTCTTCATGAGTAATTCATTGTTTGGCCTCAGAGTGTGATTTTTTCTCAGTATATAAAGAATGATTCAATTTTTACAATTAGCGGACTAACTCGTTTACGCACAAAATTGACATTGGTCCTTCTTGCTCCAAGCCACAGATTTATAAACTAACATATTTATAATATTCCATTATACGCATAAAACCAATTTCAGTTAAAATAATTAAGAAATTTTACACTTACACTTATAACTTATAATTATAAAAGTAATATTGTGTCAGCGACAGAGGTGGAAAACCTATGGTGGTTTTAATAAAAATTCATGTTTTTCACAATGTCAACATATAATTAAAAAATGTTTATAAATCAACGAGGTTAACTTGGATAGTATATTAAATCAATTTCGGATCAAATATTGTTGACTATTTTTGGGACTTCGATGTTTCTGATCAGTGAAATAAGCAAAACTTATATGTTTAATATAATATATTAAACAAAAAAGATTTAAAAATCATTCGTGTAAGTAAATAAATAATAATAAATATTGTATATTATGTAACATTAAATAACAAATAATATAAATACATTTATTCTGAAGTAGTTTTAATTAGGGGTTTGGAATTAATTTTTAAATGTATCTGTTACTCTATTTTATATTTCTGATGCGGAAAGCGAAAAAACCTTTGCAGAAAAGTTGATTCCGTAACAAACGCCAAAACATCAATTAAGAACCAAAGTATCAATTTCTTATTATAAGCATCCATAATTGAACCATCGAGAGCAACAATGGTGTAAGTCACGAAAGTTCAAAGCTGAGAAACGAAAGGTAAAAATAGAAATGATGTTTACTTTTTTTCGAGAACTTAAAAGTTCTTTTCCACATCTTGCGGAAAATAAGCAAATCAGGACTAGCATCACTTTCGCAGGCAATATAAGGTAGAATTATCGCCTGGCGGTGTTATTTCAGATCGTGTGAACATGTGACTTACACTACTTTTCCTCTTGCCGCGTCGGCTCAATTGTACCTTAGAGTCTCTAGGATTAGGATATAGGTCAAAACATCACATCGAAATATATAAGTATAAATCGATCACAGGAAATGAGACCTCTTGTCGGCCGATTACAAAGTCACATAGCTTAGTCATTTTCTTAGCTATAAAGATTAATCAGATTTCAAGTTATTTAAAAATCAATCAAGATTTAGAAAATAG